CTCAGAGAGAGGGAACAGGGAGATAAGTGATATAAAATGAAAAGAGACTAGAGGTGAATAGATATTCAATGGAGAGAAAATACACAAACAAATCCAATCCATAAATTTTGTTCAACCTGATTGTGCATTAAATCAGAAGAAAGACTGATTGTACATATATAGCAAGATATTATTAAGACCAATGACTGCATCATTTCATGGAGAAAAGGACAGATGCATAATGAATACGTATCAAAACAGAAAGGTAAATAGAGCAATCAAATCACATTTCATATGGGTATGAAACCATTGTCAGGACCAAGTCTAACACGTACCGGTGATGATAAATATACATAACCATTGGATGATAACGACAATTTGTCATGATTACATGATACAATATTATTATCATTATTATTAATAAATTGCATTAGTTTAACTCCAGTATCAGTGCCATCAACATTTGTGTCTGAGACCGTTTTCTTCAATTCACCATCTTCTCCGTATTCCTCACTTACATTACGAGCCTCTTCCTCTTCTTTCAAATATTTTAGTTCAACTTCAATATCCAAGTAAGTGATTAGCAGACGAATGAATAATGTTTGTGGTTTAACATTCTGTAGCAATTCACGTGGGTCTTTACTAGTTGATGAACGCATTACATTTGGTGCAATCACAGTGGATAAATTACGTGCATCCATTAATGATTGATTTGAGTGAACTGGTTTCGATAGATGCTGTATGCCGCCAGCAATTAGGTGAAAAAAAACAACAACGAAAGATTATGAGAGAAATAAAATGATGAAGGGATAAATGCTTTTGGCGAATATTATTATAAAAACAAATATTATTATTATAAAACAAATAAATAAACACATAACTGACTAACTTGCGGATTTGGACACTATCAATCTTCACCTACATCTGGAATAGTAGATAAACTCATAATTTCAGCCCAAAAGAAAACCAAAATCAACAAATTGATAGTTGCAAATGAGCTATCTAACTTAGATATATGCAGAACTAAGCGTGCATTAGCAGTCTGGAAAGAAACTGAATGGAAGTATATTTTATGGATGAACCAATTAGATTTAGGATAGTGCCATTTGAATTTTGTGAATTTTTTTTTATTACGATGATATATGTGGTTATGCTTTGGTTGTAATAAATATTTGTGCATAGTTGTCCACTTTACTGTCATACTGATTAAGATTGTTTCACAGTGGTTTACTCAACAGTTTAACAGAATTGAATCTAAAACTAATCTTTATAGATTCGATCTCTGTCGATAATTTGAACAACTTTAATCTACAGAGCAATCGGCACATCTTGGTCGACTCATCCTATTCAATGATGAATGCATAACGATCAAGAATATTTATGATAACATATGAGTACACAATAGTGAGTGTATTTTTAATATTCTACATAGGAAGTGACCAAAAACTGATCAAAAAACCCATATAAACCATCCAATTTACCATGCTGATGAAATTATAATCAGCAACATTGTTGTGAATACCAAAAAACAATTTATTACTAAAATGTAAATAAAATAAGGTGGTCAAAATAATAGCACAAAATTTTTTTATTCACAGCATGCAAATTATTAGGTCATTCAACAATATGAAATGCAAGCTTGTAAAGATCAATAAAGCTCCATGTACGTTAACTGAATTTGAAAAAAAAGATATTATGCGTTGTTAAAATGCAAAATTAACATGAACAGTTCATTGTTCAAGTGATAATACACAACACAGCAGGGATGATAAAATAGTTTTCTGCAACTGTCTATATTCTATAAGAATATCACAACGAAGTAAAAGGCAGATGAATGAATATTTGGATAGAATAATGAATCTTCATTCATATGAAATTGACTAACACTTGTTCGAACGAATAACTACATATATATATATAGTTTCTATCCATTATGGCATCAAACTCCATTTAGTAACATTGATTAGTGACCAGTATCATATATTTTATTTAGTCCTTAGTGTTCATCGATTTTTATCAGTCAAATTACCATGTGGCTGTTGGTCTAAGTGACTCGATATCACATGCACTGTCTTGAGATGCTAGGTAGGTTTAAGCAGTCAACAGAACACCCTGCGTTTAGCTTTCGTTGCACAAGGTACTCCATAAGGATCTTCCAAAACCCGCTAGACTATTAGGTTTTATCACTTCTTTAAATAGGAATAATATATTTGTAAAATCTCAGCGAATGAATTTTTTAAATTAAATCCAACGTTTCGCCTGGCAATCTGGTCCAAGCTTTTTCAAGGAATTATTCCTTGAATAATTTGATGATATTGAATTAGACTGAAAAAAGACTCGATAAAAGTATAGGGTAGGAATGAGCTTGAGTTATTCTTAAAATGACTGAGTTATCTTGAAGCCACTGGGCAGAGTCTGTATGGATGAATATATTTCATAACAGAAGTGATAAAATATAAGAACTCTCGTCTAAATTAGAACGAATAGTTTCACAGTATTTGAGCGCCGAGTTGAAGTAAGACATTAAATAGGAATAATATGTTTGTAAAATCTCAGCGAATGAATTTTTTAAATTAAATCCAGCGTTTCGCCTGGCAATCTGGTCCAAGCTTTTTCAAGGAATTATTCCTTGAATAATTTGATGATATTATTCCTATTTAATGTCTTACTTCAACTCGGCGCTCAAATACTGTGAAACTATTCGTTCTAATTTAGACGAGAGTTCTTATATTTTATCACTTCTGTTATGAAATATATTCATCCATACAGACTCTGCCCAGTGGCTTCAAGATAACTCAGTCATTTTAAGAATAACTCAAGCTCATTCCTACCCTATACTTTTATCGAGTCTTTTTTCAGTCTAATTCAATATCATCAAACAATATTTCCTACTGGGAAACCAAACAATTTTAGTTTACACTTCTGGTTTAATATCTCAGCAGTTAATGTAAGTTGTTCATTTTCTATAGGAAATTGAAGTTCTAGCCAATATAAAGGATATTATGTGAATGATTTTATTTATTCATGCAATGAATATTAGATAAATTCATTTCACTATTAATTAAGAATTGGTTCTAAATATTTGACTTGGAGTAGTAGTGTTTTGTTCGTCTCTAAATAACTAATCAACTAGTTAACTAACGTAGATACAATTAGAAAACGGTCGAGGCGGAAGAAAGGAAGTAAAAATTGATATCAGAAAAACAAATGAAAATGATAAAACTGAATAAATATTGGCATATTTTTTTGGTGAATAATTTATGTGGAGAAGTGACTCATAACCCTTTTCACTAGTTTATATGAAAAGAAAACTAAGGTTAACACCGAGTGAAAAAACAAAACGAACAAATATTATCAAATCAAACTTTGCATATTGAATAGAACAAGTGTACAACTTAGTATGAGATAAGAATAAATTAGGATAGAAAACTCAGTGTTTAGAAAAAAAATATGAACAAATATCAGCCAATACCAAAGTCAAAATACAAACATCAAGACAGTCTTACTGTATTGAGCTTAAATCTTCAAAACTATTACAACCATCATCAAAAGAGTATAATTGCTCCGGAAATTGGAGGCAGACATGAAAAGCATTTGAGAAAGACTGGAAAGGACAGCCTAAGACAGAATAGGTTGAATAATCCCGGTCGGTACCCGATGCTCGACGATAGTCAACAGGCGTAAGCAAAATACGAAAAATCTTTAAAATGAAGTTTTACACCTTACTCTACAATTTTACATGCAAAATTTTATATTCCAGAAGTTTGCAAAACTACATGGTTTATTAATGATAACAAGTTACCAGCTGGTAAAATCTTGATACTGATGCACAGAAGCATATATATCCAAATATTTACTAAAATCACATGATATGTACATCATGATATTGATGCTTCTGTTATATCAGTCAATTTACTGGATGGTAAACAATTTTCAGTTCATTGGTCCATTACCATCGAGCAACAATTTAGTATGTTCAAAGGCTCTAATTAAGGTTTGAAAAACTCCGGTCAGTAATCTCGAAATATAACCTCACTGATTGTTCTACATTAATTGGCTGAAACTCAATGTTTTTTAATCTCAATGGGTATGTTCCGTTAACTGAAGGTAAATGTGTTATTTAAACAGGAACAATATTTTGAAGTAACTAGTGGTCATAGAACCAAATAATCACTGAATATTACGTTTTTATTGTTAAAATCCATTTTAAACTACAATTTCAAAACTCGAAACTCTTGGTATATTAGTATAAAAACGTTAAACACTTACTTGTAGAAGTAGGATTAAATATAATAGTGATCTTCTTGGTAGTGGATTTAAGCATCTAACCAAACGACAACATTTTTGAATGGGATTTAAATCCGTTGACAAATTACTGCCAGTTATTGAATCTTTATCTTGTAATTCATAAACTTCCGCTTCACAAGCAGCTTTTAAACACATTGGTTGTAGTTCAACTGGAATAAGAGGTTGACTTAATTCACGTAACCATAATTTTAATAGTCCTGCAGCTAAATGAGATTCCAGATTAGTAGAATTACTATTGTTACTAGTTGTTGTAGATGTTAACGGTGTTGATGATGACATTGAACATGCACGTTTTATGATACTGGATAAAGTTCTAGGCCAATAAGCAGTTGGTGTAAGTAGAACATATTCGGCTGGTGGCAAACTTAATGGTTCTGGTAAAATTGGCCAACTAAAATCCCCAGTTAAGCAATTCCAATCTAACGTAGATGATAATAATAGAGAATTGTGTTTGCATTTTGTTGAATCAGTAACATCAAAGGAATTCGGGTTATTTTCTGCTTCAATCACTCGCGCAGAAGTGGACCATCCAGATGGCGGTGGACGATGAACTAGGAAGCGACTAGATAAATCAGAATCATTTGCATAATTGTTGTCATTCTGTTGTTGTTCCGAATCACACAGTTGAACAACTCGAAATATTTCAAATAATTTCTCTAATTGACAACGCACTTCAATGAGTAAATCCATATCTGGTGATAATCTGGAATAAAATACCAATAGAATAAATCACTGATTACATACTATAAAAGTACACATAAAGTATGAAAACAATAAAACTGATCGTATGATCATGTAAGTAGATGTTTGCACTGATTGTGTATAATATTTGATGCGATACAATTTCTACATCAACGCGTCAACTTGTGACAGAAGTCAAAACGATTTCTTTGTGTTAAAACATTAGGTTACGAAAAATGAAAGAGAATAAAAAGACCTCGAATAAGTGATGTTAAAGCTTAATGTCACCTTATTTCATCCAAAGTTTATTCAAAATGTAATGTTACAAACAGATTGAGAAGTTTACTGATAAAGCGTTTATTAGACTGTCGTAGAAATGCATATACTTTATAAAGTACCCTAATAAAACTAGTGTCCACTTATCAGCTGAATGGAATAGTCTGGAAGAAAGTGGTACATGAAGGAAAAACCAAATAGCTGTCTTTAGGCTTTGTTGTTGCTTATAAACAATATTTATTACGTGATGTGCACAGAAGCTGCAAGTGGTAAGTTGACACTAAACATTGATCTAGTCAGTCAATACTTAGTTTACTAAATTATCCCTAAAACAAAACATGCGCAGTTCTCTTGAAATGAACAATGAAGAGTAGTTAATAACTTACATAATGAAAAGCAATCAACTGTAAAATTATAGTTAATGAAATTTGATTCCAATATACAGATGTACAAAATCTAGAAGTATTTAAGTTGCCATAAACACAACATTGGCAGAACATGAACGACCTTTACATTTACAAATACACAAACACAAACTTACAGTGAAGAGAAATAGTAACAATTGTCAATGATATCTATGTATGTGGTCAACTTTAGACATAACTTGGAGTGGGAAGATGGTGGAATTCTGGATCGAGGATATTCTAAGAATATCAGATGGTTTCTGGAGACATGGAATTCATATCAATTACCATCAATCAATAAAAATCGAATGGAACCCGATCTGTCTGCTCATTTGAAAAAAGGCTATTAAACAGCATGGTCAAAGGTTAATAGAACAAAACAATCAGCGAAAACAATAAACCCTACGATGACAATCAATCACAAACAAGACCACTAGAATAAACCAATTTAGGGTTCGTGGAATATCTTGAAAGTTTATCTCTATATTCAATTAGGTTTGATAGTACTGTCTAGATTGACAATGAAAGTTACTGAGTTGAATTATCTGGGTCAAAGAACTTTGAAGTCATTCAGCTGAGTTGGAATTATTTCCCATAACATGCAACTATGCAGCTAATTAAAATGTAATGTCCTTCATATGAAAATTTCTGATTCGGAATAAAATAATGATGAGTCATTGAAAGAAAGATTGATCAAAATTAATACAAAATTTTGATAACTGTTAGAAATCAGCAATCATTGAGTTGCTAAAGTAGTAATCAACAGAACTTTGCCTATGCCGAATATAAAAACAGCGTTAGTATTACTATATATATATAATAAACTGACAAAATGAAATGAAAATTTACATTTATACACGAAAACAAAACAGGATATATGTAAAAAAGAAATTTCACATAAACAAAACGTTCGTTTTTGAATAAAAATGAATGAATCCATGCCAAATTAATTAATTTGAGTATTGAAGCAATAGAATTGTTGTCATTATGGATGATAGTGATGATGACGGTGTTTTATGCTAATTTTGAAATGACTGTATAACACACCCAGAATGTCATAATCATCGTCATTATCAATATTATTGCCAATAGACAGCCAAAACAAAAAAAATTGACTAAAATACGCTCTTAAACGCAAACAAGACATTAGCAATGATTCATCATTTTCACATAATATCCCCATAGGTAAAATGTAACTGAAGTGAGATCATCAAAATGTGAGTCAGATTAGTTGAATCAAACTAAATTGTGTGTATGCGTGTTTAAGTGAAAACAAGAAATTTTTCATTGCCTAACTGAATACTATCGAATAAATTACATTCTACATGTGTATGTTGTATGTATGCTAATATTGATATAAATGCACGTCTGTCTGTAAGAGAGACGGGAAAGATAGGTAATATGATTGCTGCACGTATGTAAACATGTATGAAAAAACATTGATCAACGTGTGTTGTTCGTTATGATAAAGAATTTGAGGAATCATTTTTCATTACGACTAAATAAATGGGTAGGTTCAATGTAATTATTGATCTAACTAGATAAAAATTATTCACTAGTGTAAGGGGTTTACAATGATTGTTGAATGTTGTAATTTACATTACAAACTGACCTTAGTCAAACAACTAGTGAAAACAATAAAGCACTGGATAGTTGTTTCGTCCCGATTAGGAACTCCTCACGAGTTCGTGTTCACGACCACACTAGCAGAGATTAAAATCAGTTCACATGGGGAGCAAATAATACATTAGGACACATGCTTCTTCGTTTACATTGGTTGTCTGACTAAGGTTAGTGATGTAAACTATAAAAAATGATTCATCTTGCCGCCGCCCGTATTGACAACAGTAATAACAATAACGCCGTATAAATGTATGCCTTAATTCACAGTACTAGTTAATAAAGCTGTAAGTGTGAGAGTGACAGTAGAAAGTGAAGAACTGCAGGAGGCACCATAATAGTACCACATTTCTGAGAGATCAGAAATGACAAAAACTAAACTTTACGACAGCTTACATGATACAAAACTAACTAACTGACTGACTTTGAAGCCTTCTGTTTATATAAGTACAATGTATGATCTAAACACAATCGTAATTACGCTACAAAGTGATGAACATGTCTATTCTACTTTTATTCTACTTACACTTTCTCGTTTTACGAAAATAGATAGTTTTATTATAGTTATCATAGTGAATAATTTGATCTCTTTCTACATCATTTGTTAATGTATACTCCGTTCCCTTAATGAACGAAAACAAATTACAATAAATTCCATACTACTACGACTATCACAATGCTTATGTAGTTCACATTACAAAATTTATTTTCTTGCTTAAAAGCTGAATCAACATGTTAACATAGTTGGGTCAATAGTACGTTATGGAAAACAATTTTTAATAATTCCGCTTAGTTCGTTAAAGAAATTGAGATTAGACTACTGTGAAAAGAATCTGAATCACTCCACTTTAAACAAGTCAAGATATGAAAGATTGTAACTCGTTATGAAGCAAAATAATGTTTTTTCCCCGAGATTTTTTAAACGTTTTGGAGTGGGTGATGTGTACAACTGAAGAGTACTGAAACAGAACAAAACAGCTGTTTAGTGTTCCCTAGTTTTCAGCAACTTTCCAACTGATATCGAATTGTAATACAAATTAACTTTAAAATGACAAACAAACAACAGAAAATAAATTCATTGATATAATGTAGTTTTCATATTCAATTATGAATAATGGTATCAAATGCTAACTGATAAATAGATTTTTCTCTACTCAGGTATGAGAGCCAAACACTTTGTTTAAGAGATAATGATAATCACTGGGGTTATTTAAACCTAAATTAAAGTAAATTTTGTCGAAATGACTGAATGTTAAATACTTGAATCAATGAATTGTAGTCTTCTCCACTGACCTAAGATACATAAGGAAACATGATTCACGCTGAAATAATTTATCAATAAAAATTCATCTACATATTTGTTTTTACCGTACCAAGACAGGTAATAGGTATTACAAATCAGATTATAACAATTAGAAATACCAGACATAATGTAATAAACTAAAAAAGCAGGTTATATTACAAATTCATTTCGTGTTTCCGTGTGTAATAGAGAGAGACAGGTTGGTTTTATTCAAGTGTTATTGTGTTGTCATCAAGACAGCTGTGCTAGAAGTGGACAAACAAGTGGATAAGGATTGATAGATAAGAAGGATAGTAATAAATGTGTCTAGACAAAAGGAATCTTTTGACTTTGTTAAAAGCTACATTTATTCCTTACTCTAGCGATTTTGTTAGACAAAATTCAGTAAATCGTAAATACGTGGATCATTTTATATTCTATGAAAGAATGGTGAAGTATATGGGATGGAGTATTTATGCTGTTAATAGTACATATCAAGTAAAATCATTGCTGACTAAATATTTCAATCGATATCCAACACAACAACATGGGGAATTAATAATTAATGAAAACTAAAATTTAATATTTCTAGAAAAAAAACTGGAAATAATAAAAATTATAAATGAAGAAATACTGTAATAAAAATGGAATAGTCTAAATTTATGGGTTAACCGTAGCATGATTAGAAAGGTGTTAAAGTGGAAATAATAGTTTAAAGAAATAAAAAAAATCAATATTCTGGCATAATTATGGGCTTAGATTACAGAAAACTTAACGATTATAAGTAAGTTGTATTTGAAAAACGTTTAAAAGGGTAGCAAATGTATAACTGCTATATTTATTATTATTAGTGTTGTGGTTGAGTTTATGTTTTGACTATTGAACATCCTTATACCTTATTCATTCAATCTTTTCATTTAAATGATTTTCCGTTGGTTTTTGTATTGTTATTATTGTGAAGACTTGGATTAAAGAGACACAGAGGTGAGTTCACGAGTCGGTCTAAGCTAGACCAACATAAAAAATCTGGAGGCACTAGACGGCCGTTTCGTTTTTAAAGGTGGTCTAGCTTAGATAATTTCATGAATTAAACTGTTAAAATTATTACAATCTCCACGACCATTGAGTTGCTCATTATTAACGGTGCTTATAGTACAGAAACAGTCTATGTGAATAGTAACTATCGTTCAGAAAAAATTATGAAGTGAAATTTATATTCATTCAAACAAACTATAATGATATATTTTAGCTATATTTCGATGAATGAACACATCAATAATGTAGAGATTTTGGGTTTAATAATGGCAAGATGGCTTAGGGGAAGATTAGATGAATGAAGCATGACATGTTGGTCACGGAAATAAACTTGAATCGACATACATGGTAGGTTGTATCAAGATACTTTTAATTAAACTAAAAAAAACGCTGCTGATTTTGCTACAATAACGACTATGTACCTTTCAAGCTTATCATATAGTAAAATTTCTCTTATTTGTCTGCTGCGCTAAAATGTCCATGTGGTAATTTTCGAAAAAATCAGCAAACCCTTTTATTATTAAGATACTAACATGGAAAATAAACAAATATGACTTCATTGGTTAACCATAAAGCATGTCAGTCGTTTATTTTATTATTATTTATTTAAACACATAAACATTGGTACAAGACAGCACCAAAATATATATGCGACACACAATAACAATGAGGTTGTGAAAAGATAGACAAAGGAATATGAGTATAATAAAAAAGAGCGAAAAAGAATAGAAATTAGTGTATGAGAGTGATATGATAATAATAACAATAATAATGGGAGAAGCAGTCCAGATGAAAGAAGATATAATTGGAATGAATTTTTTTCAAATGAAAAGAGATTGTTTGTATAAGTAGTTGAAAGATTCATCTTCTAAAGAACATTCCACACTGTCTACCAGATAATGCTTATATGTTATAAGTAGGTTAACAGATGAAGAGGGTTGGACATTGTTTAAATATTCAGAGGATAAAAAAACAATCAATTTACGTAAAATATATCATTGTTAGGTTAGTATATTTTTGTGCATTTCAGCTAATAAAATGGTAGGAGTCTAACTGATATTGTAAATCGTTGATTTGACATAATACCAAACATGGCTAGCATCAGAACACAGTGAAACCAATTCTGTAAGATTATGTGGTTGTTACTTAGTTTGTGGAAATTTTGAAAATTTTGTAAAGCACATTTTAGAGTGCCCACTTTTTCTATATAAAGGTGACTTTCCATTTTTTTGAATTAAAAACAAACAAACAGGGAATAACACTTACCGGAAAATTCCTTCCGTTCGCGCCCCATTTAACCGTAGAATTTCTTCAGTGAGAAATATCTGTATCCATGGTAAACGTAAATGAGGAAATCTATATGCTTGTATTTGCATCATTTCATCCAAGGAACTACCGAATATACATGGTTTTAACAAAAAATCCTTGGAGATGATAACCAAAAACAAAAAGTTGAAGAAGCAGTGATAAAAAGTGTACATAAAAGTGTATATATGACTGACTGATCACTGAGTAGTGACTACTATATTTGTCCAGTTTTTTTAGCGATTATTGAGTTATATCGACCACGATGTAAATTGGCAACTAATCTAAGTAAATCTTTATCGTATGCATAATGTTAAGATGTAAGATGGTTGAAAGTGATTCACAAAAAACTGAACAGAACGATTATGAAAATTTCAATCAAACGGGAGGTCAGTAGCGGCTCACATAGCTTAATGGTAACATTTTAGACTGTGAAGCTGAGTGAATTTGGTCCGAATAGCATAAAGAAAATCATTTTACCAATATTTCAGATACATCATGCTGGCGGGCACCAAATAGAGTGAAATTTCATTCCAGGGTTTCTTGTCGACAATGTTCAACCACCTAACAGACACGTATACTTACTCCAGATAAATTTTTTTAGATGAAATAGCGAAAAAAGTGACGTTGAGACTTTTTAATTAGGAAAACAGACCTTGGGAGGATTCACCTATGTGATCAACATCGGCAGTTTATGACAAAATGCCAGTTATTTTCAATTATTGCACTGATTTAAGTGGCAAGCTAGTGTATCTTGCAAATCGACGTATACATTAATAATGACAGTAAGGAGAACCCTACAGGAAAGTAATTAATTATTTCGTTTGTGTTTACTACTACTACTACTACAACTGTTAACATTTGATCTTCATATCACAAACCTTGCATCAAAAAAACGTTTTTCTTTGTCTGGGCTAATTTTTAAATGGTCGAAACACAAAGTCCATACAGACATTGTGGAAGACGGCTGACAATGAAACCTCTTTATTATTAATAATATTATTATTATTTTTAAATCGATCACAATCCAGAAGTGAAACACAATCTAGGTAGACAAAGTTTAGCTACAGAAATTTTCAGGATACAAATAAATGAATAAACATAGTTGTAAAATAAAGGTCAATAATGAACACGATGATTTGTATCATGTGTTGATATTTTTTTAAATAGATAATCAGTTTACTTTTCTATGTGGTTTACTAAAAATAAACGGAAAATAAGAACGTGGGATTAAAAAATTTCGCGAAATTGAAGCCAAAATTAACTTAGATGTGGTGACGGTGACCATCATCACACCAGTTAAAGTTTTAACTAAATTAAATACACTCATTCGGTACTTGAGCATAGAACTACACTAAGGGCTAGAGATAGGGATACTACCGGATTTGATCAAAACCGAAGTAAAATGACTTAATTAATTGATATTTTCCTTTTTAATCAAACTGTGATACAGAGCCACTTGTTTGGGGTAGTATGTATTATGCATGAATTTATTAACGATCTATAAATAAACTATGGGTATATTAAAATGGTTTTTCTATACTCAATTTTTTGTATTATTGAATTACAAATGTACAAGTAGTAGTAAAAAAGCAACAGAGAAAAGCCACTTATTGAGCCAAAGTAATATATGTATGTAAAACACCTATGATAAATTTCATCGGAATCACGAACCGATCAATTTTAGACCGCCATTGAAAACGTGGAAGTACTGGACGGCCGTTTCGTCTTAGTACGGCACTCCTTAGCAGTATGTATCCACGATCCCGAACGCGTGTGGAATGATGAATTAACATCAATTGATTCATTTCATAAGTTAACAAAAATTGAAGTGATTATGATCTCCGGACTGCCAATAAACACAAAAATCCACAGATTCGTCCATGATAGTAACGCTAATGGGAAAGTACCTTTTAAAGTAGAATAACATTTCAAATGCAGAATAAAAAGCATTGTAGAAAAATAACTTGTACCAAGCATTTGAAAAAGTTAAACATATACCTTAACATGGCATATTTCTTCAATCGACGGACTAATCGATGTTTTACGTACACCAACATTTAATGAACGGACAAACCATCTAGGAGCAACACGCGCGAAATGAGCTGCAGTTGGACGGTCCCATGGACCTAATGCAATTCCCATTGTATAATTATGAATAGAATGTGAAGTGAAATGTTTTGAATTAGTTAACAAATCATTTGACTGTTGGTATTTAAGCATAAGATTATTATTACTATTATTAGCACTGAACGGATTCAAACCAGAAGCGATTGCTGTGGCTGTCTTAAGACTGGATTCAGTTGATACAGTATGGTTATTGAATTCAACCATGTCATTTTGATTAAAATTAGTCGATGTTGTAGTAAGGGCAGTTGTGGTGATTGTATCACTGTTCAAAATGACCGATGCATCTGCTCGACTTTGAAGGTAAGCATATAAATGATCACGAAATTTACTATTTGGTGGGAAGTAATAAAGACAGACACATAACAGAGCCCAGCCGTTTGTAAGGCTTTTCCTAGAAAAAAATGTAATACAATGAATATATAAAAATAAAATGTAAACAATGTTGATAGAATTTTTTTTGGAAAACAAAACAATAGGCAACATAACAGATTGACCTTAAATGAAAACAAAGAATTATTGTCGATAGTCTAGAAAAAAACACCTATCATTGCGAATTACTGTGCAATTCGTAACCAGTCAAAACAAAAAAGTAGGCAAAAGGGTGTTCACCTAGAATGAGTAAAATGTCTAAAGTATACACTGTATAGCTTTAACAACACAGTAGTAGACAGGATGAAATATAGGTGTGGAATAAAGTGAGAAGGGTATGCAACAATAAAAGAACACAAAATAAAAGACGAATTATATTGGCAGCTGTTGTGATGTTGGAAAATAAAGTTGAATAAAAACATTTATAGAATTGATTTCTTTGAAGCGATTTGTAACAAATTACTTGTCAATCTAAGGTTTTATTTATTATCAGAGGGTGAGTTGGATTTATGAAAAACTCTATTTGATGTTGTAGTAGGCAATTTGTTAACTAAAACTGTTAGCGTGAAACGAGCACTTTAATGACAAAATAAAAACAGGGAGGATATACAGAATATACGGTGACTATAATTTTCTGGTCAGTCAGTCATAATCGGTGTAGCGCACCTGGCACAAATATGCAATGCTATACTATACAACTATGATGAGATAAAATTAACAAAATGAGTAGCGAGGGAATCGGATTGTAACAACAATGATGTGAAAAACTAAAAGTTGAGAATATGGTTCGGAAGATAGAAAAAAGCTGTTTGTGAAAAAAATGAAACTCAAGCAAGATTCGAAGGAAGATATAGAGTGAATCAAGTTATACTAATGCCAGTGATCTTGAGACATGCCACACAATATCAGTAAAAGTAATCCAGAACTAATCTATTTACGATAAATCCAAAATATTTGCCATCCCGACGAAGCCTGAAAAATCCATGTTGACAGTTAAATGACAGTTCATTAATGAAATTATAGGGATATTAAATTTGTAACCGCTGTTATACTTAAGTCTACTGATAAAAGTTTCCGGCATACTGTTACTTTATGCTCCTACTTTAATACAGACATGTTAAAATTGCTTTCGTTAAATATGGCTGATTACAATATTTACCCTAATCGCATAATTCGTTTCGTAATATATATATATATATATATATATATATATATATATATATATATATATATATATATATATATATACAACTGTTTCTAAGTATAATGTACTTAAAGAATCACATGTTTCGTAAACATTGAATTTAGTTACGTACTTTATAGACATTTATCAAATAGACCAAATCAAATATAAACATCACTTAAATATACAAAATTTAATGCCAAAAAACTACGTGAATTCTATTACATAAGAGACTATTTCTCATGAGAAAAGTATAAACAACTGTTCTATGAAGATGTCACAATCGTTTTCCGTATATCAAGAGAACAAATACTGCACATCAATAATAAATAAACAAAGATAATGATAACAAAAAAATATATAAATCTTGTGCAAAATTATATAAACAAGCTTATCCATTCCAGAATTATTTTAGTGAATGGTCAAGTGCATTGGATAAACAAATATGCGAATTACTACCATAACAGATTAAAATCTATAATACATGTTTGATACATTCAAGATGTCTTAGTTAATCGTAATTTGAAGCTAATGTGAAACTACGGTTTACGTTTCGATTAAAATGACCTTATTACATGTAAAGAAACAAGATAGTTGTTGAAATAAACAAAATCATTTTATAGTACATGAATGTATAAATTGTTTGATAACGAACTGCTAGGAAAATACAACGATGATAATAAAAATTGATCGAATTAAAAAGCTTTTCGTGTGTAGGGTTAATAGACTAACACTGAACTTCAGCTAAATTATCTGTAAAACTAAACGCATCTCCACCTTACGAGATTGGTCATCAGACATTTGATGGTTGTTAACTGATCGTCAAGGCTAAAGATAACTAACGTAGACTAATACATTAACAACAACGGTGTGACTCGTATGTAAGACTAGGTAAGATAAGATTAAGGCTATCAACTGAATAACGTAAATGAGATTTGTCATATAGACTTCTGAAAATTTTGTTTGATGTTACACTTTAATATCTTTATATTCTTCAACGGGAGTAATGTAATAAATCATGGAGAAGGTTCACTGAAATATCACAACAATAGTAGGTAGTAATTTAAAAGCGAAATTATACTTTCCTTAAAACAAGACATTTTACTAGGTAGTTCAGTGTTTTCGTGTCCATAATAGTCAACTTAGAAGATACATATTTTATAAGTAACTGACTACGTCTAAAAGTATTGAACAGATCAGATAGTTTTACAAAATAAAATGAAAAATATAAGCGAAAAGATTATGGATAAAAAGATAAGATTGTAATCAGAGATTATTATTACAACAAAAAGTCACATTAGATTAATTGCTGCTACAATGATTTACATATTTGATTTTAAAAATATCACTAACTTACACATCTGGATTACTTGTCGTTTGTTTGCACAATTGAGCATATAATTCATCGCGTAAATTTGCCGAACTCAAGGCACGATGAATAATAATTGAACCATAATCTGGCAGACTAAGACGTGCTTTTCTATCACCCATAAATGACTGAATCACTATAATGCAATGGAATAAAAAAATCATTCTAGCTGGAATGTTATACTATTAACAATCATTATTCAGTCAAAACCAAATTACTTATGTAATACACGAAACTATATTTTGAGTACATTATTAAATTTTATAATGTGTAGTCGTTTATTTCATTTCAAGCATTCGAAAGGATAGTTTTATGCAAGAAACAAACATAACTTCTAGATAGGAAATTTCATGAAGTACTAAACATTCATTAAGTGTTATAAAAATACTGGACATATTGCTAAGTAGCGTTGGACACAATTTAGTCAATTATCCTGTTTCCGATTTCATTTCTAATAATTCATAGAAGCGAAGAGCTAGAAATATGTTCTCAACATATTTACATGCATTTAGAGATGTTTCATAAGTCAATACATCCTTTATTACTGATGATCATCTGAGAGTACAACCACAACATATTATCAAATATGTTCGCAGTGAGAAGGCATTTTATGTGTGAAGATAAAAGTTCCATCGAAGTTATGAAAAATCAAACACAAATTGTTACAATTCATGAACACAATGGTAATGAGTAGCTGTGTTTACAGTGTACTATCATATGCCTAATGAAATATGTACGTGAACATTGTATAGGTCTTATTATATCCGACGAAGGGTAAAGGAATGTTAACTGCCAGGATTAATTTATAGACTATTATTGAATATATTTTATTGTATATTTATTAGGTAACTAGATTATTTTATATGTTACTTTTACTACGGGTTTTCGACTAACTTATTACTGTTGTATGATTTAGTATTCTTAATCTGTTGACAGTTTATTCTTTACAGTCTTCCCTACTCACAGAAATGAAGGATACTAATAGGTTTGTGACTGACTATGATGTTACGTAAGCTGGAGAAAATTTGCTAAATCAGTAATTATCTAATCAAGATATGACTCCCTAGGAAGTTTCTATTGATTAATTGGGAGGTGTTTTTAACATTCTTCCAGAATTCCGAAGAATTTAAAGATACAGTTCTCAATAAGAACGAACCTATGTTAAGCAATATTGTGATTTGAATCGCAGACATTAATTGCAATCGCTAATTTATTGGTATCCATTTGAGGTTTTTTCTAAACAATCGATAAGATCTCTCTTTCATTTTACTAGTTTGAAGAAAATTATCAACATAGCGTCGAAATTTAAGATTAATATCTAAATTATGACACATTCATGACAATCACTCAGATTGTAATAGAAATAAACATTGGTGATTTAAAACACAACAAATTTTTTATATTTTGTTCTAATCACTACTTACATTTCGTGTGACATTTAATGCTAGACATAATTATCAAGTAACGTTTTAACGATGAAAGTTAGATTACACACAGAATCATCATAGAAACACTACTGATTATACCGACTTCCTTGTGGGATAAATTTGTTATATTCCAACTCAGTGGTACAGCGGTGACACGTTTGGCATTAAGTCATAAGTTCTTCGGTTTGGTCCCTAGGGAAGGAAGCGGGTGCATACTGATGAAAAGTTGCACACTAGGATGACATAACTATTCAGTGTTGTTTTGTTGTCAGTGAGTGTCAAGGCAAAGTTAATCTGAAGTGTGAACTATCTTCAAAATCAATAACAGTTTTTGAAGCAATAACTTCCGTATCATCTTGAACCAGTGTATTTATGAAAGTTAAAATACGATGAAATCAATAGTAGATAGATTGCTTTCTAAACTTGATCATTGACATCAGCATGGACAAAACACATATACACGATATATTGATGTGAAAATTATTTATCAATAAACCCAAGATTTATAATTTTTAACAATTAATCTATACAACTCCCTTTGCATAAAGAAAATTCCGAATTATTAAACAAAAAACATAGAAATATTGCATTAACTGTTGCCCCCAAATGCCCTGGTACGGCCGACAGTGGGGAGAGTCCGCCCTCCCTCTCCAAATGTTCTCACATGGTCACGCATATAAAGACTCTACCAGGGAAATCCTACTCACTGCTTTCTCGTGGCATTACTGTTGTTTACGAAATTGAGAGGACGAAAAGAGAATGCCCGGCTCTTTAACCGGGTTGGTGGATACGGAAAGTAAACCTGAGGAGTTGGAAAACCCTGATTTCAAACCAATGGTGTACATGGGCTCCAGTATCCTGAGGAAATAAATGGCGTATGAACCAACTGTTGGTCACCCGCTACCATAGAACTGCATCTCCTTACGATGCTCCACTGCCTTGTGGATCAGACCTTTAGGTCAAAGTCTCCGGGTGTGGCCTCCTAAGAAAACCACCTTCTTCAGTTTGGGCGTCTGGGCAGTAACCCAGTCCTCACACAAATCGAGTGAGATTTGTGCGGCGCATATGTATCTGGTGCTTCCTTGTACCAATATTTATGTGTTTAAATGAATAAATAAATAATAACCGATCACAATGTAATAAATCAAACCACATCATCAGATGTACAATTGTATGATGAACAATATTACAGTTAATGAATAAAAGTAGAATTATGATAATTTCAATTTCATAAAAGAAAAACAAAGTTTAGAATGCGATATAAGACTATATATTTTATTTACTTTGGTATAAAACTACGCTAAATATACATTAAAAAAACAACCAAATAATGAGCAACATGAAAGACGCAGTGACGTCATTTAATTGATTAGATAAACAAAGAATAAACATTGTGAAGTAATGCAAACTAATTGTAGCTCAAGATGAGGATTTTAAAGCTGTTTTGTCTTTTCAGTTGAAGCTTTCATCACTGTCTTTCTCGACAAAATTATCACCGCACACTTCAAGTAAGACATATAAACGTTCAGAATAGTAGAAACGGACAGATATTATAAAACCGTGAACAATATACAGGAGTATACAATAAGTTGAAGAATTGTTTGTTTTTCATAATGTGATATTCAATTCATCGATTAAATCGCACAATAATCAAAGTAACAACTTTCTTTTCTAAATACTTAAAGTAGATTTTTATAGTAGAAAAACTCTTTATCGAACTATTTATACCAATTGTAATGTTTTGAAAGATTTTAATTAGAAACTTAAAGTGACGACTGTGGTTTAATTACCAAATTTATTACAATTTGGTCAACTTGTCCCACAGAATTTTGTCGACGGCAACCAGACCTTTAAAACATAAAGTTAACACATCGAGCACTACTCGCTGAAAGGTCGTGAGTGACCAGTCTTATACAGTTATCCTTTGGGCTCTGGGGTCACACTCATAGGTTACCACTGTCAATCCAGCTTTCCCTATCAGATGCTTCAAAATATATCTTTCCATGATGTGAAGAACTGGAAAGTGACAACCACCCACCAAACAATAGTAAGGTTCGAAATTGACTGACTGTTAATGAAGTTAGTATACTAAGTGTAAAACGATAGCCCGTTGTATTAATTTGAATGGGGTAACTAAAATAAATTGGTAAACACGAATATGAACAAATGTTAAAACTTTATGGGTATTCACAAATTGTTATAAGGTTTTTTACGTAAAAAAAATGTAAAGGGAGCAAAAAAGAAACCCAAATGAAGTTACTGACGATTCACAGAAACGAAGAAGTGAAGAATCGAAGAGAGGCTACTTCAGAAAAAAAGAAGGTTAATAAACATTACCATCAGTTTTCTTTGATTGATATTTGCATAAACTTGATAATTTACACATGAAACTCAATCATGGGATGTGCATATATATATATATATATATATATATATATATATATATATATATGAAAAATAATTAAAAATAAAGTTTAAGCAATTTAACACTTTCACTGATATTTACTTGTGGGATAATACATAGAGACCGGGAGTGTTAGAAAATAATCATTTTAGAAAAAAATAAGATAAAATCTTAAAGTATTATATTGAACTATCCATGTGATAGATGAAAATTTCTTCAGAAATGTTACGAAAAATTACAGTACAAAGTAGTAAAATGAGTGGAGAAAATTACTTGGCTAATTAATTGTATTGACCATAATGAGTTAGTAAGCATTAAAGCCTTGTAGTTAATAAGAAATTAGACGGTTATCATTTTGTAGTGAACATTATTTGTTGTATCGATAACTCTATTTACCTATTAATATAGCTTTTAATGTAAAAAAACATGGAGGGATGATTTGATGTTATATAATTTTTTTAAAATATATTAACTGTACATCGATAACCTCTGACAAACAACTGCTGTTATAACGTCACCATACATGAATATAGAAGAAAAGATTACCTTTAAACAACTGAGCAACTTGTTTCTTTAATGAAGGTTCCGAGGATATCAATATACGTTTTGAAAAATTAGACTAAAATGAACAAAAACCAATAGTACGGTATGATTCATAAAGGAATTAAGCAAGTATTGTAAGTTGAGAAATGAATACTATACTAAATATATTATATTGAATAAAAGGAATATTCTCATTATTACGTAAAGAACTCATATGCAATTACTCATGCCATTTTAAATATGCAATCAATTCGGAAAATCCTGAAAAACTATAAATCCATCAACAGTTTTACAGTTGAAACATGATTTTAATAATGATAGCACGGAAAGTACGGGATTACACACTGTAAATGTCTACGAAGATGTTAAAATCAAGTAGAGAATGGAAAATATTGGAAGAGAAGATTCGAAAGACAACTATGTGATAGCAATGAGTCAACTTTATGCACAAATGCAAAAAAGGTGCTTATCTTCTTAATGTTTTCATAAGCCAGTGATGTGAACAGAGAAATAAAAAAAGCCACGATGAACAACGGAAGCTATTTTTGGGAACATTGTTTCATTTAATTCAAAGTCTAGAAAATACTAACAATTAGTTTTGTCCCTGGTTTATTCTATAAACCATAAGCTTTCGTTTGATGCATAATTCACTGACATACCCTTTTCTGTTCCACAGCTATTGTAATTTCAACGTAACCTTTTTTACTCCATTTTTCCACTCTAATGCCTAGTTTGGACATAACTGCATTTTTCTAATTGTTTGTCTGTTGTGACTATGTTAGTCATCTATCTATTCATGTATCTTTTAATACTAATCTGAATCGGGGATCAGGAATAAGTGAAGTAGTGTTCCGGTTGACTGGTCCTCTCTTTGCTTCCTCGTTTGTCAACCAATCAGGTGATAGAATAGTTTTCGTCTTTCTGCCCGAGGCCATTAGTCTCAATTCGGACTAACTAATTTTTAGCCTCAAGGTTGAGCCAGTTAGCCCATCGTATCAAGACCTTAACCTAGATTGAGACAAATCCTTCCCTGTATATTATTGGATAAACAAATCAAGGATATAACAACTGGCTTATAACCAAAACACCAGATATTGCTGCAAAATGACATCAACATTTGATAGTGACATCTGCCAAGACTAAACCAAGTTCCCAGTGGTTGCAGTTAAGTGGCGATGACTATACAGGGTAATCGCACTACAATACAAAATAAATGAAGTTGGATGTCAATAATCGACATTCGACTAATTGGTAGAGACATTCATTATCACATTGAAAACATTTAAACAGAAAGAAGGTCCATTGACGTCAAAGTTAAACCTGTCTTTTATTTTATTGAAATCATGAACCGATCTAAGTTAGTCTACCATTGAAACCTGGGAGCACCGGATGGGCTTTTCGTCTTGGTATGGGACTACTTGGAAGTGCACATCAACAATCATGCACGCAATGATCGAACCGAGGACCCGAGTGCGAATGTTTAACCTCTAGACTACTGAGTCGACAACCAAAGGTGTGAGATGAGATGAATTTAGTAATTAAGGAATATAACTGTTTCCAATAAGTGATGCAATTAGTCTAAGTGTTATTGACAATACACAGTCCAAGGAAACATGAGACTACCTATTAAATCCTTAGTATACAAATAAAAGAAACTTATTCAATGCTGTGGTAAGACCTGTTCTTTTATGTATTCATGAATGAAATAGTAACAATAGTAAAGTGGGCTATATTAAAAAAATTTTGAATGCCGATGTGACTAATTGGCTGCGATAGAGTCATTCCGTGAATACAGATACATATAAATATGTTTACATTGGTTTAGATGTAATATTTCGCTGTAGGACACATTTTTAAATGCTTTTGGTAATGATGAACAGGAATATACATAGAGGGAGAGAAAGTAGTCAAGAATATGATAAAATGTGGGAATGAGTGCTATTCATTACACTTTTAGGAATGTTGGCTGAGTCATTTTTTTCGTAAATAAGTCTACTTATTTAAAGAAGCGATGGTTTGATAGTTAAGGCGTTCGACTTTCAGCAACTGAGTCCCGGATTCGAGGCCCGCTCCACTTACTTCGACTGCGGCAACAGGATAGTATCATTAACCCTCACACTTAAAGCGTGGCTCATACCTATGTACACGGAGAATGAGTTAATTTAAAAATTAAATTATCTACATAAAAAGTAGTGAACTGTCAAACGTGTGCAAACAGCTGATATAATGAACGTTATACCGCTAGGAAATATAAACGCTATATTACGTTAGATATTTACTGTTTTATTCTATGGAATCAGACATAATGCAGTTTCCGTTAGCTACGTATAGTACAATAACAAAGAAACCTAACATTAAACTGGAAACTATGAATAAATAGGTCAGATTACCTTCGTCCAACTCATTAATGTAAATATATCTTGGTCTGCTTTGAATAAATGACTCGGCCAATCAAATGGTCCAATGAATGAAGAAAATGCTGGATGACCTGGATGAACATAAATTTGTTGTGTACTTTTACGAAGTGTTGTAGGACGTGAACGATTATTATTATTGTTATATGAACCACAAGTCCATACAGAAGATGAATCTGTACTTTCAGCAGGGCCAATAAAACCCCCAGAAGCAGAACGTGGAAAATTATTCATTAGATTAGCTGTTGAATATCCTTTCATAGTCGTTGATACAACCGTAGATGTCACTGCCGTTTTGCTTACATTGGAATTAACTATTTGAATTGATTCGTTGGTATTAGATTTAAAACAGTTACTACCATCCCATATAGTGATATTCTTAGTATTCCACACATTAGCATCACCATTTGTACTACAAACTACAGCATTTGGTAAATCTGTAATTTTAAGTTGTATATTTGGTTGACTCGTCATAATGAATCTAGGCTGTTGAGAGTTGAACGAATCTGTTGGTGGGATGAAACACGCAGGATCGACAACACTGTTTTCACCGAATTGCATTTCTTTACTGTTTGAAAGAGCTGTGTATATAACCAAGACAATGGACATTAAAAATTAGTGATAAACATTGAACACAAGTGATGGAAAGTAAATATACAATGAGTTCAATTTTAAATCTTCTTAAAAGTCTACATTTCATTCTGATTTCATAAAAGATCTACATTTAAGCTTAAAAGGATGGATGCAGAGCTTTAGATAGGAAAACAAAAATCTTGAGAAAAGTAGACATTAACACAGCTTAGTAGATATTAGGTTGTCTGAGTAAAGTAATTTAAATACAAGTTTTGCTGTTTTCACTACTATTACTGAAATGTTTGATTCATTTTAAAAGAGAGGTTTCCTTTAGTGACTTGTTTTCACTAAAAATTGATCAGTGCTTTGCAAACTCCATAAGAGTTTTCCCCAAGTTTTATCAACAACTTTGCGAGGTCAATTTTGTTAGGAAGTTCATGTAATGCGGTCGTTAAAAATTTAAACAAATCTTAAAAGAAGTTTATTGACCTGTATACAGTAGAATAGACAAACGTACGAGTAATATATTAAACATACAACATTTTAATGTTAAGATAAGAATTTTTACTAGGAGACATAAATACTTCGAAAATGATTCTGAACAATGGATTTAAGATATTTGGAATTGTACCATATTAACTCCTACAAATCAGCAGAGTACCACTTTATTCAATTTAACATATAGCTGAATATCATTACATTACTACAAACAATTCAGCAAAAAGACAATGAAATGTTGCAGGCACCATTAAGTAACTGATCGGTATACTGTTGAATGATTCGGTCAATATTGAAAATGATAATAAGTTAGCCGAAAAAAATGATACAGTTAAATATTGATGAAATCATTAAAAACTAGTCATAATGTACATTATAATTGGGACATTCTATACAACGACATCAATTAAAAGTTGATAGATAGATAAATTCAAGTCAGAATTTCTGCATGCCATTTTTCCTACATCTTTTTTTAGGAGAAAAATCTGTTATCATACGCGAGTACATGCAATAAACAATGTAAACATTTTTCAAGAACGGAATTACATGTGAACAACAATACATGATATTGATAACTGTATCTAAAAGTGTTATGATTATTATATTCACTGTTGATACATATGATTGTGTAATGTAATCACAAGTGCACATTTTAAATGATTGACAGAGAATAAATATAAAATCACGTAAATCTATGCGGAAATCACTATAAAATTTTATTTTATTAGTTTATCATAACGGTACACATGTGAAGAGCATAGCATGATGATTTTATTAAAAATATATTTATAATCAGAAAGATGGATATACCATTCTATTGCAATGTAGTATTATGGTGTGGTCTACTTATATCCATATAAGTAGTATATGGTGAGGCTCAGACATAGAATGTATTTTGGCAGAAGACCGATGAGGAAAGAACTGAAATGAAGCGCAATCGTTTGGAAAATGCATGAGCAGTGGAATTAGAGAAGAAACAGTGAAGATTGAAACAATTGGTTGTTAATTTGCAAATTGACTGTTCATTGTATGGTTTTCAGAATTTACTGAGATAGTCTGTAATTTTGCTTAAATACATTCGATTGTCCCCAACCAGTGCTCTGTTTACTACAGTATTATTACTTGAAAAGAGTAATAGTGTACAGATCAACTTAACTAAAGAACATATTGAACTATACTAATAAAAAAGCTACTAATGTTTCATAAGAAAATACAGCTTATTAAGTACTTCATCTCTTTTTTTATTTATTTGCATGTAACGAAAGAATTAAAGTTATGACGTTCAAATATGTGTTCAAATAAAATGAAATAAAAGTTATTCGTTTCAAGTTTCCTTGATGATTTTGTTTATTTAAAACATTATATGAATCTTGCTGAACCTTTTTAATCGGATGACTGCTTAAATAAATTATATTACAAGATAATAAGGCATGATAGATACTAAATTTTGAAATATTCATTATATAACGATGTTAATCAGTGTAAACAGTATTTTCGTACTATCTAAACAAGTATTAGCCTTATAAAACTTGAGAAATTTACTCCGTTATTTTTTTTCTTAAAGTAGTATAATACACTGAAATAAAAAGTGGCTTATACGTTGTAGCTCATAACCTAATTACCTTAATTCAACGAAGGCTTGTCACTTGTGTACCAACTAATGAGGTCTAAAGAAATGATTAAAAGTAGCAGAACTGTCCAGAAGACAAAAAAATCATAAGTATAGCTATTTTTTATATCACGATTAATCAACCCAGGTCACTTAGTTAATAAAAAGACATCAAATCTAGTCACAGATCACTTATTATCGTTCACTTTAAATATCGAAAACTTACAATGTAAGTCAGTATGTATTTGTTGAGTGTAATACTGAGAGCGATGAGTTCGACGGGAATTTGGTTGGATGACATGTGCACGTGAAGGATGATTTCTCGACAAGGAAGAAGATACTGACAAATTTGTAATAGGTGTAGACGAAGGACTAGGACAAGGTTGTGAAGAATAGGGAGAATTGATTTGTATATAACCTGCAGCTTGGTCGAATGATGATGTTATCGTATTCAAAGATATATGATTCGGGAAAGTGACGAAAAAAGCACCAGGCATTCCTGGGGAACACAATGTAGATGCTGAACGTGGAGGAGGTGTGGGAGGTCTTAAATAATCTTCTTCCTCATTTAAACTTTCATCTAAAGTAGGAAAGTGACGACTGTAATCAGTTGTGGTATTAAGAAGGCAAGTCGAAGTAGTAGTCTTATTATTCTTAATTAGATTAGAATCATTTTTTATATCTAGTGAGAACAAATTCCAATTTTCCGAATCAAACAACATACTATTTGGCATATCTATACTTTCCTCAGAATTAGCAGTTGTCAAAGCAGTGGCTGACGATGCACTTGAAAATGAGGTAGGAGATAAAGGTGAAGAAGAAGGATGAGGGGATGCGGATAGAGGACTATCAACCGGAAGATAATTGCCAGAAGATACTTTGATATTATATTTATTTGAATAGTATGAAGGTATGACTTCATTGACTGAACAAGAAACTTTAAGAGAAGCATTTAAAACTTGGGATGAAGAAGTTATGATACATTCAGGTGTGTTATCTGAATTAGAAATATCTTCAGGTATCAGATTACTTGATACATGCTCAATCAATTTTTGTTTAATTAAGGAAGATGAGTCTTTTGAGTCTGATCCATGAATAATAGGAATTTTTGGGTCGGTCATTGAAGCTCTTGCAGAGCTGGTATCACTAAACTGGCTAAGAGCGACAGAAGGGAACAAAGAGATCGGTGACCCTTCCGATGGGATAGTACAAGGTCGAGGTAGAGTACAAGTCCCATTACCGGAGGGACGTGATACAGTCGGATTAGTACGAGGAAATGCACGCTGGCGAGGGACTGGTTGTGATATGCCATATGAGATTGTGGGAGGCATAGAGGATTGTTTAACAACTTCGCACATACTAGAGTTGAAAAACTGAAATGACTTGTCGCTACTAAGGTTGGTGTTTTGTTGTATATCAGTAATAGATTCATCAGAATTATTTACACCAGACTCTTTCTGAATACTGGTAGTAGATTCAGAAGATACAGTAGTTATAATATTGTCAATAAATTTACAAGGTACATTTTGATCGTATTGTATTGGATAATTGGAGGTACTGCATGATGACGAAGTCTGGTATGTACTACCATAAACAGAAATCAAGTTGACAGAATTATTATGATTTGGATGAACTGAATGAGAAACTGATTTAAATTGTAAATTTGGAAATTGATCCTCAGATGGAGCAGGGAATTCTATTAATCCTTGAAGTTGTGATGATTGAATATTATGTCTTCGGATAGGACGATCAGATAAACAACCAGGTTTCTTAGTGTTACTATTGTCAATGATGAATTCATTAATATTACTATTAGCTGTTGTTGTAGCAATGACAGTATTGCTATTAATAACAGTGGATTTCATTTCATTAGTTGTAGTAGCAACAGCATCACGTAACCAATCGCGAACACGTTGATTATCAATGCTGACATGATTTGTATTCGATGTGTTAGGGATGTCAGTTATAACTGTTGGTCTAGATAATAATGATAAAGGCGAGTGAATACTATTCATAGTTTCATTTATTGCAGCTGAATGGTTATGATCATTATTTGTTGATATAGGCATGGGATAATGGTTTAATTTATTATTGCTAATATTAACCTGTTGTACAACCATATTATTGAGTGAATAATCTGGTATCTCAGCAGTAATGAATGAATTAGTACATTTCCTTTGGTTTAAGGATGTTGACAAGCGTTCTTCTTGATAGTCAATATTTATATTATTATTATTTGAACGTCGAAGTACTCCCATATCCTAGAGTAAAAAATAAATAAATTATTAATTGCGTACATATGTATATGTATTGTGAAATATTATGCAAATATAAGTAGATGACAAATATTAAAATAACGTAACCACCGAGTAAAGGTTTATGAAGACAATTTTAAACTAAACTTTATTCATGAAGAATAGTGGCATTATGCGGTTGCTCAAAACGATGTAAATGCAGAGGGATTCAAATGCTCGACAAAGTATTGAAAATGCGGATATTGTTCCACCATATAGACAGCTTCTGAAGTATTCTATTGCCTAAGCATGGTTATTTATGTCTTAATAATTTATTCTCTAAACTTGGAATATGATAAGATGTCGCAATCCTTACACAAAATTTTGTATTGTCTGTCATGGATGGATTGATAATCGATTTTGTGATATGTGGAATATATGTCAACATAACTATAGACTGGTGAGTAATATTACACCTACTTACTTTAAAATTTCTTCATATTTTGTTTATCATCTAATCAAAATTTTAATACCATATAATCCAAATGCAAATTCACAGCTGGTGAGAAAGAATATATATATTACAGTACTTAGCTAACAATCATGTTTACTTAGATGAAAGTGCAGTGATCATTCTTGGTAGATACTTTAATCCTTTAAAAGCCTAGTATGATCTTCAGATGGTTGTTGTAAAAAGCAGTGGATTACTGCCAACAAACAAAGGCATTAGGAAATAACAGTGGGAACAGACAACATCCTTTATTAGGTCAGAGTTGACGAGAACTAGCAAAAAATCACAGGTATAAACAGTAAACGGTTAGTTAAGACTAGCGTGAAGAAATCTAACCGGGAAATTGAAACGATGAACTAATGTGTGAAAAGGGTTTTTATTTTATCAGAAGCATCACTTATTTAGGAAAATACCTAGCTATTGTAGGTATGTTGTTAGTGCTATGATTGTTCGTGGTCCTAAAGACATCATATATTACAGCAATGGAGTTATAGACAGTAATTAAAGGTTAAATGTCTGCTGAAATCAGGGATTTGATATTAGAACACATTACTATCAGCAAGACCCTATTATATACATAACGTCCTGATAAGCGTCAAGAATATATAGATATATTTTATTTTATATTATTTACTCTATACTTTTAATAATACTGTTTAATTTTGATCTATGCTGATTACGTAACTCATGACTACAGGTTTTAGCTTCTAGATAATCCTTGTCTTTACAATTGGATCAGGCTGCTTCAATCTTGTTATATATTAATTTAATTATTAGACCTCATCGGAAAGCTATTCATTTAACCACTTTGGATTAGCCAACATTTTGTTACTGTCACTTCAGTAAGTATATACAATATCAAATATGCAGATAACGGATAATAATCCACATACTAGCATGAATTGATTTTTATTCAATCGCTGTTCTTTCTATGCATTCGAATTTACGAGGAATAATTGAAAATGGAACTCGTAAGTTCATTCCTAAATAGCGCAGATAGTCAGCGAGTTAGTGGCAGTTTATTTATATGGTAAGTGTACCGATAACCTAGAAGTTAAAGTATTAGACTTCCAACCAGTAGTGTACATTTCCAAAATCTACTCCACCTACTTGAGTTTGAGCACCTAAGTAGTGTGATATATATAAACGAATATACAAACCGGTACAATTAATAATTAAATAGTTAAACATATGGATACAAATATCCAGAATGCTTAGAAAATCATAGATAAGGATGAGGGTTTAATAATCGAGTAGAAAATATACGTACAAGAATGCTCACAAGATAAATGGAAGCCCTATACGGATATTTAGCACGTTCTTCAATAATATAGACAAACAGATAACAAAATAACACGTATAACATATTTATTGTCCATTTGTGTAATTAGTCAATTTACAGTGGAACGGTGGCTCAGTGGTAAAAGGGCTAGGTTTTGAACCAAAATGTCGCAGGTTCGAGCTCAGTTTATCTACTTCTGTTTAGTCGACTGGATAGTGTTATTTATTCTCACAAATATCCAGAGTGCGGCTACAAAACCTAGTGTACAAACCTGTAAATGGGTAACACCATATTGTTGTTCATTATTACTGTTCAGTAAATCTAAAGAAATTACCACTATTATTAATAGAAGTGTAACTAACAAATGACTGTAGCGCAAAGTAAGACGTAAGTGAATGATATAAATTTTCTTGACAATAAGAGATCTGTTTTCAAGCTTTTAAAAAATGGAGATTAGGAGCCTCTCAACTTGAAACGGATTTCAAAATGTTTAGCTCACTTTAATAATGAACAATTATTCCCCCGGAATAGAAACATAAAGTTAGAATAAATCCCAATGAAAAAGTCCTTCAATGGACGTATAAATCATTTTAATAGCACAAATAAAATGTCGGTCATGGATTCAAGTACACAATACAAAATGTGCATATACTTAGTTTTTATTATATAAAAATACAAATGATTGATTCGCGAACAAGTAATGGACAAAACAAACTTTATATGCGACACATACATGGTTTCAAGAGGTATGATACAAAATTTCACAAAGCAAGAAGAAAATATGCACATCAAGATATTGAATCGAATATAAAGCATTTTTATGTTGTTCCCTCATTTGTATGTTAGTCGTGCGTATATGCCAAAGAACGTGTTTTTAGTAGCTATGCACCAAGAAAATTCGATAGTTTACATTCGTACATGATTAGGAAAGATTATATAAGTCTAATCATAATAATTTGTTCGTTTGTATTTATGTGTTTAAAACTAGGAAATTTTCAACTTACTAGTGTCTGATTGAAGTCTTCATTTGCTCGTTTTCCTAACTGTATAAACAATAAAATGAATAATGGAAGAAACATGATTTATGGTATGTGTAAAGTTACACAGGAAATTCCCGTTTACCTATATCATTTAATGATTACTTTTTGAATGGAACTGTGAACATATTTTTTTGATAAAATGTATAACTCTACAATAGTTGACATTAAACATTGCATAATATTAAACTGGACTTTCCGTTCTCAAAATATGACTTTTATAGGTTAAATTTTAATATTTAATACTTTTGAGAATTTCAGTTTACAATTAGCGTTTTGAAGTAGAGTGATAATAAAACGTTTTAAATGGGATAACTAACTTAAGGCCAGCGTCGATTATATACTTTTTTTAACCTAAGATGTCGTAATGGATAAAAGCACGTATTATCTAGTTTAATTACAATATTTGTTAATAATAACCTAATCTTACAAAGTATCTCACTCTCTTAATTCCCCAATTTAGCATTCTACGAGTTTTAATCCTTATCGAAAATCCTATTCACACTTAAAATGGATCAATTTTGTTAGTATTCAATAAATATCTTAATACATCATAAGAAACAGTTCTCGTAAAATCGAATCGAATTCACGTAGTGAGTGGTTGAATTTACGAAGGAAGCGCCAAATTGTAATCTCAGAGGGAAAAGAAAAAGAGGAATACCAAGGAACACATTGCGTTGGAAATTGGAAGCGGACATCAAAAGAATGAATAGCAACTGGAAAGGATTGCCCAAGACCGAGTTCGATGGAGAATCCTGATGGGCAGAGTATGCTCCTCCACAAGGGGCAACAGGCGCAAACAAGTATGGATGAATTATTCACTTACAATATAAGTTGAATTTAATTCAATTATCATTTGAAATGATGCAAAACCCAGGAGAAAACACAACTGAACATTCTTAATTTATAACATTCATATTTACGCTTTATAGACTGAATATAACAACTGTTGAATGGTATTTTTTTCACACAATAGTTTATTATTTATAAAGAATACAACAACATAAGAATCATTTCGGAGTATATAATACAGATGACTGTTTGAATAAATGATACTACATTTTTGTAGTAAATTTATGTCGTCCACACTTAATAGTATAGGATATATATAATGAAAATTGTATCATACGGAGTTGGGTTAATATACAATAACTGGGATACAAGACAATATTACCAGTAACAATAACAGCTGTGGTATAATGAACGATACAAAATAAAATAAAATCAGGGGTAATTAATAAAGAGGAATTGTTAGAAATGTCGCCCAAGATTATCATTATTATTTTTTAAGTATATAGTAATCATAGTAAGACATACATAGTTTCATAAAGTAAATCCGAAAGTCAGATTTAAGCGTTTACAAAAACAAACAAACACTTGAACTATTGAAATGTTCAGGGTAAACAACAGTATGACATGTGAATTTATTAAAAGTTAGGTTCACTAATATAAACAAAGTAAAAAATAAGGAAACCTTTGAAAAAAGTATAAATTAATTGCTGCTACGGTAGTAAAATTCAATTAATAAAGACCATCATTGAAACTACTTGTTTCCAAAGTATGAAATCAATCGTAACTCTAAACCTTCTCGCACATCTGCACACATCTCACCCACCAATTAGACTATATTAAGCAACTGTTCAACAGAAGACTTTGATTTGCACCCATAGAAACAATGTAGGTCTTAGATCCCGGTATTAATTATATAAAAGTTTTCATCTCAGATCACATCTTAGGATACAGGTAGAATAGATAGATTGGATACTTAGGTAGAAAAATATTTGTTGGTGTTTATTTTGTGATAGAATATTGAGTTGAACATCTAAAAGCTTATGAAAATGAAACCTAACATCAAATAAACTGAGAAAGTAATCAATATGCAACCGGTTTTATATGAAGTAACTGTTTAGAATATCAGAGAGATATTATTATCGATCAAATACCTCATATTTATTACTTTTGTTAATTATTAGCGGTTGAGAACCGACCACCTTAACATCTGAGCCACCTCTCTTATTTTGGAGACAAAACACTAGATTTAAGTCCACATAAAGTAGTTTTTATAAATATTTTTACTGGATTGATAAAGTTAATATTTTACTCTTTCAAGCAGTCAGGTTTTAACAAATTCACAAGATTATTAATTGTCTTAAATAAAATTCCTCTCAAAAAGTTTATCTGAACACTCGATTTAGGTTCAACACAACCTAATATATATATATATATATATTATATATATATAATATATATATATATATATATATATATATATATATATATAATATATATAATAATTAACAAAAGTAATAAATATGAGGTATTTGATCGATGATAATATCTCTCTGATATTCTAAACAGTTAGTGTTAGCGAACTCAAATGGGAACACATGGAGATAAAGATAATTGACGACTTATTTAATGTCCTATGCAAACATTTAAAAATAATGGTTAGCAAGTAAACAGATTATTTGATATTTGTTTTCCTTTTAAAACGGAACTCCATCAGCTGAATAATTGAAAATAATGGCTTTCGGATTGGAATCACTCCTTAAAGAACTTCTGAACTTTGAGTTTTTCTTCTATCAGAATTACTCGAGTGTTTTATTGTTTTTTGGGTGAACTACGATTGATAGCTAAAAAAACACAGCGTGATACGCACGAGTAAGCATTAATGGTAAGTTGATGACAAGAAAAATAACAAAAATTTGCAATGCAAGCATTTGAATTTCAAAACACGAAGATGTTTTGTGTGGATACATATAAACAGTTTAAGTTGCTGATGATAAACCACCCATCTCTTAAGTAAGATATTTGGCAATGAAAGGGGAATGTGTATGCCAATGTTGAGTTTGGAGTACCATACAAATAAAACAGTTGCTAAAGAAAATATTTTAAACCAGTTGGAGACTTATCACGAATTAATAGGTCAAAATACAACTAAATTCCAAAACTATACTTATGGAAGTATAAACTTTCTAGAACACATCGACAGAAAATACGCTGAAATTACATGGTTAGAAACCTTGGGCAACGTGATGTACACCAGGCACGTCAGACACTAGATCTAAAATATTTCATTCTCCATAACGAATCTTTTCCTATTCATTCGTTTGCTTTTTTTGATTCATTTTACTAAATTGTTCCTGCAAATTTTTTTCAATGTTACTAGAAAGAATAGTAACTTGATTTGTATGAGACACGCTGTTTTGCTGACTTTTGCTATCAAACGAATAATTGTATATAATAATAACTATATATATTATATACATAACATGTAACTAATGAATGAAGAGTACGACAGTGAATTGGACAAATGACCATTTCAGATAAACTATTAAAGTTACAGTCAACAAAAATGCTGTGAACACTTGTAATATTCAATTTGATAATTTCGAAAGTTTATTTGATATGAAGATAGACAGTTTTAAAATAATAATGTTAGCTAATCATTAGTATTATTTCCGAATTCCTTATGGTGATCACAAAATTTGAATGTATATTATAGCATAAAAATAATCATTTTAAACGAAAAATTCTAACTGATAAAACATTGTTATATTAACGCAAGATTTTCTGTGGTTTAGCACAGGTTTTGAAATACCCACATACAATTTTCGCTGAGAAAGAATACACACAAATAGTTGCGCAATAAATTATCTTAAGCGGTTATAAAGTTAGTTAGAATGTTAACATACTCCAGTCAGTTAATAATAAATGATCTTGGTTTTGTTTTCAGATTAACATGTTTATCACGAGGCACTTATAAGTATGGTGAAGCGACAGTATGTAATACAATACAATCTTATGTTAAAGAAATAAAATTATTTACATAGCTCAGGTTTCTATAATCTTTCAAAATTCATTCATATAAATAGATATTTGGACATAAATCGTATAGTAACTACCAAGGAAATATTATACAGTAAAAACTAGGAAACTATGTAAAAATTTCTATCTATTCGTACAAATAATCTTTTTAAAAAACAAACAATTTAAACGTTAATTTACAATCAGTCCATTAAATAGTGAAAACCTACACTTTTTTGAATTATAGATGATGATGGTTGGAGATTCTGTTGTAGTAACTAAAATGGAAGAGAAAAACAAAAAAACAATGACGACGAGACAATTTGTTGTGTGAAGGAATCTTTACTTTTAATGAAATAGTTATTTGCCGATTATCGATATCATCAACCGGTCAATGTGAGATCACCATTGAAAACTTGTAAGCACTGGACGACCTATTCGTCCTAGTATGGGGTTCCTCGGCAGTGGACATCCACGATCCCGCACGCGATCAGTGATCATTATCATGTGCTTACTAGTGACTAGCTTCGAGGGGTAGTTCTCAGAGTTTCAATGAAAAGCCTTGGCCAGTGGAATTCAACCGTATCGGGAGTGAGGCAGTTACCCACCGAAGACGATGGAAGATGATCGTGACATATGTTGGGTTTGTTGAAGTTAAACATTAGCAACGTTGAATGCCGGATTGGTGGTCTAGAATTTAAGCGTTCGCACGCGGAATCGTGGATGAGTACTACTGAGGAGTTCCATACCGAGACGAGACGGCCGTCCAGTGTTTCCAGATTTTTAATGATGGTCTCACATCGATCGGTTGATGATGTCAAGTAAAACTCGACAACAGCCACAACACTATACTGATAGTTTTCAATTTGTATCAAAAAGTAAAATTATTTTACAGATTCTATTTTTCTTATTTGTCAGTTATCTGTCAATTTCTTTGTATATATTTACATAATATGCTAATTTAGTTTTGTAGTGGATTTCTGATGTGTAACCCATTTGGGTCGATAAAGTACTGTGACAGATTGAATGTTATAATGTCTAATAATGGCAGTTTGTAATGATTTCACGGAATGAACTTTTGTACCTGTTAGTACCGCTCATCAGTAAGTGTAGATGGAATCCAGAGAAAACTACATCTTTGAGGAAAACGGCAACAATGAACTACAGTGGACGAAAGTGACCATATTTTAGTATCGCGTATTAATCAATATGACATTATCTGTTTTTATTCCGAAGTGGTCAGATTCTGTCACTGTGTTCATAAGTAAACTAAATGACCGAACATTCTGAATCCGTTTATTTAATGTTAAGTGGTTACATGAGAGTGTTACAAAACCTTGGATTTAAGTTTCATGCTAATGCGACCACATTTCGAAATTGACTGGTAAAAGTTCATCAGCAACAAAGACTTAGCGACACAAATTATTTGCAAGTTAAAAAATAAGCATTTTGAGTGTCTGGATTGTTTCGAAGATTTTACATGATCCATCTTTTCACCTTTTTTACTAGTAATTTGATGATAACTTTTCTAGGTGAGTATACACAATGAGTCATAGGATAGTTGTTTAAATGCTTGAAACAAAAGATAAAAAGTTACCGGATCAATACTGAATGTAATTTGTCAAAAACCGTTTGTTTCGCTATTTTCAAAGCACTCATATCTTTGTGAGTTGAATGGTAAACAATTATGTGAATGTTATTCAATTAATACTGAATATGCAAATGAGTAAGAAACAGATAACAATTGAACTGAAGAGAAGTGAAACAACTGAACATACAAAAAAACAATTCAATATGTTCCAAATAAATTCAGTCTTATTAATTACTACTATCATAGCATTTTTTATGAGTTCTACACATGGGTTACTAAATAACGTTACGTAAATTCATTTATGTTGCTAGCATTATTATTATTATTACTATGATTATGATTATTATAGTTATGATAGTACTCGCCTGTCTTCTCTAATGTATGCTGAACAGTGACTGATAACATTCCCAAAAACAGAACAATAACAGTTGACTACAAAACGACACTGAGACACCACACATAAATGGATAGGCCGAAGTACAGAAGTATTGAAAATTTACTAAGATCAGAATTGCACACTCAATGGACGATCGAAAATGAATATATTTGGACTGGTCTATTTTAATCAATCAGTGCTAGTAGACAAATCAATCTTGATTCCTGTCAATTCTGATTTGTGTTGCGTCTAGTGAAGCGTAGTAGATAAAGAGTATCAGACAATGAACATATTTATATCTATTAGAATTATTGGTGTCATATAGAATGTATGTAGTAGATGGACCGATTGGTAAAAAATACATCACACTCCAAACTCATGTCATTATTTATAAAGTTGTGAGGTCAGTGTAGTTAGATTGACATAATACGTATTTCTTATGTTCGCTTTTTTAGACTAACAGTAACTTTCTTTTTTTGTTAAGGTTGAATATTGGCTAGCGACCATAATAAAAACTTGCTTCTAAACGGCTATATCGAAACAATCAACTCAGGATGAACATATGGCAATAGTGACTGATCGATTGTTGTCCTTAACATCAACAATAGGAAAACACAAACCTTTATAAATAAAATTAATATACCTTTGTTTGAAATGTTATTTCGGTTAAAGTATACCAGTTAGGGATGATTTTACCAATTTCAAGTTGCAGATTCTATTTCTGATATATATATATATATATATATATATATATATGTAGAGTTAGACGAACTTGACTCTATACAATAAGATTAACCCAGGTAAAAACTTCCTACACATTATAGGATGTTATAGTAAGAGGGTATTGGGTTTTCCAGTTATCCATAGTTACGATTTAAGAATAAAAGACACAACAAATCCACCTAAATTTAGATATCGGATGTCTAATAGTGTTATAAAGAGATATAAATACTAAAAGATAAATTACTTGATATCAGATGAGGCTATGGAGAAATCTAGTTAAGAAACGGAATTGGTATTTATGTTTACACATAGAATTCCGGTCACTTATATGTGTTGTATTGTTCACCAATTAAAATTTAATCTCGTAAACAGAAACTGGACAATTTTAATGTAATCGATAGAACAAAGACGATCGATTATTTTGTTTTTGTTTTAAAAAAAAACACTGCCAGTGACTTAGGATGAAAATGGTGCGTAAGGATACAGGTATACGTGTATACGAGCAAGTGGAACAGACTGAAGTTTTATGTTGTTCATTAGAAAGACCAATCTACTAGAAAAGCGAATCTGATAAACGCTACACAGATATGTGCGCTAATGTAAATGGAATATTAACTGATTGGTTTTTGTGTAATACTAGGTTACTTGCAATAAAAATTTTAATTCGAATGCTGATAGCTCCTTAAAATGGTATACCAAAAGATTCAAAGGGATAAAGTTGTTGTCTTTTAAATAATATAACGAAAAAGAAGCAACAGGAGAATACGCTGAGTTAGTTATCAAAATATTTGATCAAATGTATGAAAATATTTGTGAATTGCTGCAACTTTAGATTTCTTGGTAGTTGAAAAAAAACCTATTAACAATCAACAGACTATAGCAATCACAATTAAAATGTCGACCGACCAACTAAGGCCAAAGCATGGAAGATAATTATCGATGTGGTGGCCAAATATTGCCATACTAAATAACTTCAAATCTCAATCCATTTCTGAAAAGTATGAAAGTACCAGTCTTTTTACATAAGTTGTCGATAAGTCAATAACAGATTTTGGGCATACATAACGTTTTCATGAAGAAGAATATGAGAAATGTATGGACTGAAGAATTACTGACGTATTGTAAGCATTAACCAGAAGTAAATATAATGGAAATCCAACCGAATGGGATTTATTTCCACGGAAACTCACTAATGAACCTTTACTGAAAAGAGAGCTCAGGTTGATGCCAAAAGATTTGATAGAAAAAATAATGAAATGCATGATGACTTGTACTACTAGAACTAAAATTATGTCTTGAACTTAAAAAGCTGTTTCAGTGTTAAAAAGAGGAAGCAAACTGGGTATAAACGTATGAAACTCAATTTTTCTGTATTTGATGGTAGGTTAGAGGTAAACAACAGGTTTAGAAACCATATATCTAAGCAGCGAGATCAATTAACAAAGAAACTATGCTCACCTGGATTTTTGCTAGGGGAATAATATCACCATCAACTGGTTTCTCCCAAACAGTTTCTCGAGTGCTACTATTATAATAGTAATTTCTTTGGACTTTTACATCGAACAATTCCCACCATTGATTAGGTGAAACAGCTTTACTAGAATTAAAACAAAAAGTGATGACTAACGGTATGAAAGAAGGGAAGGTTAATACAACCAAGTTACACATCTTACCATGCTGCAGAACAATACATAAGAACTGAGAATTTTATTTCCTAATACGTTAAAATGACTATACGATCTAAACTACACTTATGAAAAAAAAACTTGACATGGTAAGATTATACAGAAAGATATAGTAGCAATGACGCGACTTCTAACATGTGAAACCAACACTCCAGTGTAATGGGGTTTACGAATATTCAAATGATTCTCTCTGTTCTATAAAATTTAGAATAAAACGAGAAAATGTGACATGATGGGCAGGAATCAGGCCTGATAGTAAAGCCCTAATCAATCAGAAAGTGAATTCAGTCATAGCAAGAGCCATTAGTTTATTATTTGCACCTGATATCCTACTTCTTTAGAGAAACGATTTGAAGACTTATATAGCTTAGTAGTGCTGTAGGATTTTCTAGTTTGGATTGTGGCACTTCTGCAAAAGGAGCAAACACTACCAAATAGTCTTGATAGGTTGCATAATTCAAGGGTTTTCCGTGATGATGAGGTGAGGATCGATATCTAAGGCTTTAATAACTTAGTGAACAATTATGATAAAGATCAGTGAAGAAAGAAGATTCTCTCTGATTAACCCCACATGATAATGCATAACTATAAATACATAATACTGAGACTGTTCTAAATAAACAAAACATACAAATCTGAGATAGCTAGTTCGTTTACTGACTTATAATGTTACATTTTATTTTGTCACACGTTAGGATTAATGATAAGTGGTGAACAAGTTCTGAATTATTAGAATGATTAAGTAAAATTTCAATCGAAAGATGAGAAGAAATATACGATATGCCTGAGTGAAACTTACTCATGAGATTGAATTACTGACTCAAACCTTGGAATTAACTGATATAAAATACAAGGTCGTTAGCTAGAACGATAATTTTTTATCTAGTGAAATACCCTGCCTATGGACAAATTAAGAGGTAAATAAACTTGGTTAAATATCATATGCAATTGCAGGTAATCAATTCCATAGGTCGCTAACTCTACAACGTGTTCAGACTCTTCTTCCTGCCCATCATATCAAATTTACTACCGGTGTGTTTTGAACTTCGGGTATTCATAAGCTCTCTTACAATGCAGTGTTAATTGAAGATGTGAAAATTTGCGTCGTCGAGATTGCAGGCTTTTAAAAAAAGAAGGCCGATTCACTAAACGAAGAGAAATTTTGTGAACACAGTCCGAGATAATAATGATAACAATAGGCAATATAAGGTGGATTTCCTTGTTTAGACTAGTGGTTTATACGTTGATAACAACCGTGTCTCATTATATTTGCCGAATCTATCTGGTTCAAGTATAAAGGACTGGTACAACTGACTAGTAAAATCAATAATGTTCTTAAAGTATGACATAAATAGTATGACTAGTATCCAAGTTAGTAGTCAGATTTTCAGGAAACGAACAAACCCGAAGCTACACTGCATGTGTAAAGACTAGTGATACAACCAGATTATCCGAAAGAAATAGGATGGAATAATGTTTCAGTTCGCAACCTCATGGTTTAAAACTGATGGCTATAACCACCGAAATATTGTTCTAATGATTGGATTCCCTTCTGCAACTTGACATCATTATAATAATTGGATATGAACTCTGTTCCTTTCGAACTCTCAATCTCATGTTTAGGGAGGAATATTTTAAATGGCTTAATGTATCTAATTATGATTACACTAGTGGCTACGACTTACTATTTTGTATTTTTCGGAGGATCTCGGCTACATTCGCCAGACTTCAGATTGATGTACATCAACTGCTGTGATTTTGGATCAACTAGCTGAACCCAGTCATATCTGAAAATAAATGAGGACAAAAAATTATATTCAAGAATACGTATTACTGGTGACAGAAGTTTCGTAAATAAACAATATAGTAGGAGTGTTTGCCAATGTCATGTTAAAAAACCACGAGCTTTTAAGGGATGATAACTTTAGAAGTAAACACATGGTTTTTAATAAGTAAGGAAGATTCAAATCTCGCAAACTTAATCTTAGTAAGCTTTTTAGAGAGGAACTTCATACCAAAAGTAGAGTCTACTATGAAGTATGTGCTGCTGCTACCTTGACGTGGTGGTTGGGCTTGCCTATCGTGACGAAGCAATTGAGCTATACTGGCTGGAACAATCGTTCCTCGAGGTCATACCATGCCAGACAGGTCGTTTGAAGAGCGGTAAGACTAAAAGCAGCAATCCCAAGGTCCGAAGGCGAAGTCGTACTACCGACTGTACAGAGGTGTGACGGCAATAAGGTGTTTCCTTCAGATAACCAGCATGACAGCGATGCTGCCTTCCCACAAGGAGGGGTGGGGTTAGAAAAGGTCGACCCTAAAAATGCACACCTTGCCTTATCCCACGGATTTCCGTCTCAGGCGGTAAGGTCCTTTGAAGAACGGAGCTAACAAGTCAAAAATCCCCTTGACTCTGTGGTCACGCTCCCAAGTCGTTAAGACCAACACTAATCCAACTTCTTTTTAAGGTCCCTCAAGAAATACCCTTCCACGGTGTGGGCAGCCGGGAAGTGATATTAGCCCTCATACCCGTAACAGCACACGAGACCAAGTTGGTCACTTTCAAATCCTTCCTACTCTTAATAACTCTCTTATCTCCACGACTAACCCTTCCCACGTCCTTTTATCACCTCGCACCGCTAGGGCAAACGATTCAAGTACACGGAACGTTATTCCTGGTCTCCTGAAACCACGCTCTAAACTACATATAGGGACTTTTAATGTCCGAACATTGTGCCAAATAGGACAACAGGCTTCCTTAGCTAGGACTCTAGAATCTTACACCATCGATGTGTGCTGCGTCTTCGAAACGCGCATACAAGATCCGAGTAGTGTCATTCATTTGACCTCACCTAATCAAAATAAAGAACCATCTCGATACACGCTTCGTGTATCTGGAAGCCCTGACGCTGCTTCCCGTGGCCTCGCTGGAGTAGGTATAGCATTAAGTCCTAGGGCAAAACTAGCTCTTTTAGACTAGATCCTAGTAGACAGTCGTCTATGCGCTGTCCGACTAAACGGATCAGTAACGACTCGGAAAGATAGGGAAACTCGTCGTTGCCCCTTCGTCGTCTCTGCCTACTCTCCCACTGACTGCAGCTCAGACGATATAAAAGATGAGTTTTAAAGGAAACTTTCTGACCTTCCCCGAAAAGCTAGGCGTTCTGATGTAGTAATAGTGGCTGGTGACTTTAATGCTCAAGTAGGTAAACTAAGTGAAAGGGAAAGACACCTGGGTGGATCTTATGGTGTCATGGCGAAAAGAACAGATAATGGCGACCGTCTGTTGCAGCTGTGCTCAGATAACCGCCTATTTCTTGCAAATACTAACTTTAAGCATAAGGAAAAACATCTTTTGACATGGCGACCCCCGAATTCGTCCCAACGTTGGACTCAATTAGATCACATCACTACCAGCCACCGATGGAGGGGCTCGATAGAAGACTGTCGCTCACTCTGGAGCACATGTTTAGACTCAGATCATGCTCTAGTGCGAGCACGTATCTGTCCGCGTCTTACCGGACGTAGGAAAGACACTGCAGGGAAGCCTCTAAGGGTTCTACTTAATGATAGGCAAGCTAAGAATATATTTCAGGAACAACTGGAAAAACAGTTAGACAGACATTTAAGTTGTGCCAACCCCGAAGCAGCGTGGAATGACATCCGTAAGGCTGTGGAAACAGCAGTGATATCCGCTAGTAAGGTGAGCCATAAGGTCAGGGAGAAACAATGGATCTCGGCAGCATCTACCACACTGATAGATGCTCGAAAACTCATCCCACCTGGCTCTGAACATAACGAAGAGCGGAGTCAGCTTAAGCGAAGGCTAATAAGAAGCCTACGCAATGATCGTGAACAGTGGAGGGTAGCGAAAGCAAAAGAGATGGAAAAGGCAGCGGAAATAGGTAACAGCAGACAGCTATTCAGACTTATTAAAGAAACCGGCATTAAGAACCCAACTATTAGCGAAACTATCTCAGACAAAGATGGGCATATCATTCATTCTCAATCCAGGAGATTATATCGATGGGCAGAACACTTTAGGGACCAGTTCAACTGGCCTTCAGCCACACTTCAGTTACCCACGATCCCCAGTCGTCCTGAATGGAAAATTGAGGTAAGTCCTCCAACTCTCTACGAGCTTGAAAAAGCTATAGGAAATCTAGAAAGAGGGAGAGCAGCAGGCCCTGACAGGTTTACCCCTGAGATTTTTAAGGATGGTGGTCCAGTACTAGCAACGAGATTGACTGAGGTCTTAGGTAGAATCTGGGAACTGGACGTAATTCCGTCTGACTGGTCCCAATCAATGATTGTGCCAGTCTATAAGAAAGGACAAAAGTCCTCCTGTGACAATCACAGAGGAATCAGTTTGACTAATATTTTATTTTATTTAAACACATAAATATTGGTACAAGGAAGCACCAGATACATATGCGCCATACAAATCTCATTCGATTTGTGTGAAGGCTGTGATACTGCCCAGGTGCCCAGACTGAAGAAGGTGGTTTTCTTAGGGGCCCACACCCGGAGCCTTTGACCGAAAGGTCTGATCCACAAGGCAGTGGAGCATCGTGAGGAGATGCAGTCCCATGGTAGCCGTTGACCAGCAGCAGGTTCATTCGCCATTCGTTCCATCAGGATACTGGAGCCCATGTGCACCATTGGTTTGGAATCAGGGTTTTCCAACTCCCCTAGGTGGACCCTCCATGTCCACCAACCCGGTTAAAGCGCCGGACATTCGCTTTTCGTCCTCTCACTTTCGTAAACAACACCCCCACCACGAGAAGGCAGTGAGTAGGACTTCCCTGGTAGAGGCTATATATTCGCTGGCCATGTGAGAGCATTTCGAGAGGAAGAGTGGGCTCTCCCCACTCTCGGCCATACCAGGGCATTTGGGGGCTTGACCAATATAGTGTCTAAAATATTAGTTTCAATAATACTACGACGCCTAACCAGAGCTCGTGAAGAGCAGAGTAGAGAAAACCAGGCTGGTTTTCGACCTGGACGTTGTTGCATAGACCAGATATTCACTCTACGTCAGGTCCTAGAACATAGACATACATTCAGACGTCCCACAATAGTAGTATTTCTTGACCTTAAGGCAACATTTGACTCCGTTGATCGTGAGGTTCTATGGCAGTGTTTGTCAGTGAAAGAAGTACCAAAGAAGTACATTAACCTCATAAAGGCTCTCTACTCGAACACAACTGGTCGAGTTAGAGCCTATGGCGAACTGTCATCAGAATTGGTTACCTCAAGTGGTGTTCGTCAGGGCTGTCCACTCTCCCCATTCTTGTTTAACTTTGTCGTTGACATGCTTTTAGAGATATCACTTTCATCATCTCAATCTCCTGGAGTTGGACTTTTACCAGGAGGCTCACTTGCTGACTTAGAATACGCCGACGACATAGTTTTATTCGGTGAAGACGCTGACAAAATGCAGAGTCTTCTGACCACTATAAGCAACAATGCAGGCATGTTCGGGATGCGATTCTCTCCCTCGAAATGCAAAATGTTACTTCAGGATTGGGTTGCATCGACACCTGAACTAATGATAGAGAGTGAAGTAGTTGAGCGTGTTGACAGCTTCACTTATCTTGGGAGTCTCATCAGCCCTTGTGGTCTGGTGTGTGACGAAATCTCAGCACGGATACAAAAGGCTCGTCTAGCTTTCGCCAACTTGCGTCATTTATGGCGTAGGCGAGATATCCGTCTAGCAACAAAAGGACGGGTTTACTGTGCAGCAGCTCATTCCGTCCTACTTTATGGCAGTGAAACATGGTCGATAAGAGTAGAAGATATTCGTAGGCTACTAGTATTCGATCATAGGTGTCTTCGAAGCATTGCTCGTATATCCTGGGACCACCGGGTAAGTAATGCAGATGTTAGGAAACGGGTACTAGGTAAGGATGGCAAATCGATTGATGAAGTAGTGAAACTTCATCAGTTGAGATGGCTGGGACATGTGTTACGTATGTCCAACCACCGACTGCCCCGACGTGCAATGCTTTATGGTGTAGGAGCAGGTTGTAAGAAAGCTAGGGGTGGCCAGACCAAAACATGGCATGAATCCATGAAGTCGCTGACAAGTGGACTGAGCCATGTTGGTAGGTGTAGACTACTTGGTTGGGATTCGCGAGATGACAGCAACCGATGGTTAGAGACCTTGAATGACATGACTCAAAATCGTTTGCAATGGCGAAGGTGCATACACTCTTTGTGTTCTACCAAATTCTAATCTTCTGAATTCTTCATATCCGTATCCTTTTTCTCTTTCCAAATTTATTTTACCGTATTATACTCCTTCAATAACATCTTCAAACCCTTATCTTTCACATAATACTTATACTCTTACTACTTCTACCAATATGGGATTTGAATCGACAACTTCATCTCTGTGCTAATGTGGTATGACAACTCGAACTGATGTACGTACGTACGAAGTTCTACGTTGTAACTGACTGGCTGACTGTATGTGAGGGAGTAATTAACGAATACGCAATAGACCTAGGTTATTTATACTAAGTAAAATGATTGTGACTTAAAACATTGGAAGCTTTTAGTGTGGGAATCAGAGGATATGCTGAAATGATTTCATATGGACAGGGAATTGGAATTCAGTATTATGGAATCAGAGTACAACGAACATATATGTAACATATTTTTACACGGTCTGAATAATAGCAAGGAATAAATAGACCAACATAATCATTCACAGTTACATTTACTATCAGAGCGATGCAGTACTATAAATTATATATTTATTTATTTAAACACATAAATATTGGTACAAGGAAACACCAGATACGTATGCACCACACAAATCTCATTCGATTTGTGTGAAGGCTGTGATACTGCCCAGGTGCCCAAACTGAAGAAGGTGGTTTTCTTAGAACGGCCACACCCCAAGCCTTTGACCTAAAGGTTTAATCTACAAGGCAATGGAGCATCGTAAGGAGATGCAGTCCCATGGTAGCCGGTGACCAACGATTGATTTATACGCCATTTGTTCCCTCAAGATACTGGAGCCCATGTGCACCATTGGTTTGGAATCAGGGTTTCCCAACTCCCCTAGGTGGATCCTCCACATCCACCAACCCGGTTAAAGAGCCGGACATTCGCTTTTCGTCCTCTCAATTTCGTAAACAACAGTAATGCCACGAGAAGGCAGTGAGTAGGACTTCCCTGGCAGAGGCTATATACGCGTGGTCATGTGAGAGCATTTCCAGAGAGGGCGGACCCTCCCCACTTTCGGCCGTACCAGGGCATTTGGGGGTTAAAACTCCTGCGTGTATAGTGCCAAATGATCAGTGCACATTGCTGGGTGAAAAGAAAGGTGTTTTGACTCAGTCAGTTAGTGAGCTACAACATAGGACCAGGTACATATATGCATCGGTCCAAGTTGCCATACCTCATTAGCAAAACAAGATGAACACCGAATTCATAGTAGTTAATTTAGTGGTGGTAATATGTAACAGAAAAGTTGCATATAAAGATATAGTACAGGAAGAAAGGCAGATATGAAGCAATTCTAACCTAATGGTTTAAGGGAAGATAAAGAGTGTATACACCTACGCCATTGTGATCGATTCAGAGCCATGTCACCCAGAGTCTCCAACCATTGGTTACGATAGTCTTATAAGGAGAGAAGACTCTCCTTACTCTTGGCCGTATCAGAGCATTTGGGGGCATGACTATCGTAACCAATGGTTGGAGACTCTGGGTGACATGGCTCTAAACGGCTAGACAGGCTTCAGTTCTGCTGTTTAGATATGATTGTTGATTAGCGATGGGAAGCGATGTGCTTCATAAATGGATATAACCCAGATACAATTATGGATAAATTTCATCTACTGCAGCATACCAATTTCGGACAAAGATATGGGTCACTTTTATTTAGTAAACCATGTTAACAACAAGCGTTAAATTACTGGCTAATTAATATTAAAAATCGAGTTGTGACATTAGAAAAATTCAAATGATCTTTCCATATGGGGGAACTATCATTGTCAGAAAGTCTCTTTTTTTGTACTACTCATTCATGATTTCTAAGATGCTTTGCTAGCTGATGTAATTACGGACTCTTCACTGGGCTAGTTTAATATGTCAAACTGTTACTTATTAACCGTTGAACGGCCGTTCCCAAGCTCAAGCATTGAAAGACGATTAGGGCAAGGTATTAACACAATAACTGGCTTCTCCATTTCAAAGAACGTACTATTTTGACTTATTAAATAACTATTGATGAGACCAGTCAGTCATAACGTAAAACTTTGTACGTACGTACATCAGTTCGTTGCCATACCACATCAGCACAGAGATGAAGTTGTCGATCCAAATCCCATAGTGGTAGAAGTTGTAAGAGTACAAGCAATAATACGAAAGATTAGGGTTTGAAGTTGTTATTGAAGGAGTATAATCCAGTGAAATAAATTTGGAAAGAGAAAAAAGACATGAAGAATTCAGATTATAAATTGGGAGAACACAAAGAGTGTATGCACCTTCGCCATTGATAAGACAGTTGAACAACCGTCTCATTAAGTGTTTTAAACAAACCTATCCCAATGAAATGGACTCACCATCACTTTAAAGATATCAAAGTCCAAAAACATGTCGAAATTACTGAAAATATAGTGCTACCGACATCTGAAACCATCGTTGACATCAAGATTCAAAAGCGAATCAACGAACTAACAATAGGTCAACAAAACGATATCATCTAATAGTAACAAATGAATAATGCGGATAACATCTATCAAAATATTACTTAACGAATAAAATTACATCTGCTTTAAAGCAGATGAATTCATTTAAACGTGATCAGTATTACTGCATGGTTCCTACATCCTGCTAGATAGTATTAGAAGAGGTATTTAACTTCGTGCGATACTTCCTCATGGATACATTAATTACGTTACGCTCCATAATTTCAAATAGTCTTCATAAATTCAATAAATAATACCAATGATATAAGCGAAAACAAAAGCAGACTTGCCGATTAAAATCGCTAATATCCATAACGCCGATGAAGCTATATTGTCAGTACAAAAAAGCAGTCATTCGAAAAACATTTTTGAGAACAACATATCGAGAACTACATTATACGAAGAGTTCAGTAGCGAATAGCGCGCTAAATGTCTGGATAGTATGGTACTTGATTGTCTCTGTGACAAGAATTAATTTGTAAACTTAATGAAATAGATTACTTGACGTTAACTTTTTTACAGTTTGTTTTTTCCAGGTGTTATGAGGCGCGCTTGTTTTTGATACAGCTGATATTTTGTCGCGAATAACTTTTCAGTTTGAATTTCAGTATCTCAACAATGCCAAAGTATTCTAGCAGTAATCCACAAAGCCGTGAGTAAAATTACTACGTATTCGCTAATATATTATGAGTTTGCCAGTTCCAAATATCGATATAGTAACAAACCTCGAAACTTGTCTACTATTATTAGCTTATTATTATTATTTTTTATTAGCTTTATTCAATATTATATTTTTGGTACAATATGTCTACAAAGACATGTAGTGCACCACATCCTATATGTGGAATATATATGCTAGGTAATAAATAATGATATGTAGGAAGTTTTCAGGAGCAGCCATACGTCATACACACCTCTCTAAATGGTAACTCGTCAATGAGTTTGTTAATTTTGTTGAAATAACCTCAAGCCATTAGATAATACAGTTTAGTGCTTGCAATTCGGTCTTCCTTGTGGCCGAAATATCCTCTCAAGCATTCTTGCAATCAACTACTTAGAAATTGAGTTATATCCTGAAGTTTTTAAATGCGCTTTTCATGTATGTACAATTGTTTTGACAATGGCCCGAATTGACAAGACACTGATTAGAGTACACTTGATATAATCCATTCGGACTCCTGAATAAGTTACCCTCTTTATTCGGCTTCTTCATATTCAGACCTTAGTAATGGGTGTGTCACTAATCTCACAGATTGTCTTTGAATGCCGGTCTTGTTGTTGCTGGTATCTGAGATAAACTAACAAGTCTTCCGCCTGTTATTTGATTCACTCACCCTTTGCATCTGAATAATATGTATTCAACAAGCTCTGCTATCTTTGCATAACAAGGAGTTTACGCTGCAAGCGTGTGGTAGTGATAAACTTTTAGTTTAAATGGTTCAGTAATTACATCAATCTTTCCTAGTTTCATTCTTTTATTGTACACTACATAAATATCCTTTACTAGTTTGAAGTATGCGTTAATCCCTTTAATTGAGCCACAAATTAGTTTGTGATTGGTAAACCTAGTAAGTTTAACATCGGGCTCTTTTGCAGTGTGGAGTAACATTAATTGGTTGATGTCTGGCGCATATATATCTGGTGCCCCCTTGTACCAATATTTATATGCTTAAATAAATAAAATAAATTTAAAAATTTGTTGATGACCATAAAACTTTATGAACTATTCTTCCATAAAATATTTCTGCATTTTTGAACGGACATTAACAACGAATATGTTATATGGAGCTGCTCCTGGCGCATACATAAATCAAATTCATGGCCAAGCTACTGATTAGTAATAAAGTCTCTTCTAACGTAAAAAAAACTGTATCCTTTGATCAATTACCGCATTGTATAGAAATAAACTAAAAAAAGAGCTCAGAACTATAGGTGATGATTGAGCCTGCTCGCAAGAACCCCACTTTTCGTTTATATACCGTCAAACTGCTGCATGTTAAGAAGTTCAGATACATTAAATTCAAGTTATTAAAAATATAAAGGTTAAAGCCAATTAAATATCTATCATCATTTTTCAAGCAAACTTTACTTTCAGATTTATCCTAATTTGTCTCTAGTCATATTTTGAAATTTGGATTCCAAGATGTTTTGCAACTTTATAAACCTTACTACAACCCTTAAAATTTTCGATTACTTCGTAATGACAGTTGACATTATATTTTCTTCTGTTTAATTCTCTGGTTTCTGTTATTTAGGCAAAAATAGACCACTTAAACGAGTCTCTCCTCGTTGGCGTAGTACTTTTCCTATTTCATTAAGTCAGCTACAAAGGAAACGTGATGAATTCTGGGATACAGCTCCGGCAGCTGAAGGCAGAGTTGAGATTTGGAATGCTTTAAAAGTGGTTGCTGATTTTTTTCAAAAACATGATTATGATATGGCTCAAGCGATTTTAGATGGAGCATGTATCACCCTTCCATCAGGTAAAGATTTTGATGTATTCCCTGGCAATGTTTTTATGCTTGGTATGCACATTAAACTAAAGTTTTGCCCCCAAATGCCCTGTTACGGCAGAGAGTGGGGAGAGTCTGCTCCCCCTCTCATATGGACACGCGAATATATAGCCTCTGCCAGGGAAGTCCTACTCACTGCCTTCTCGTGGCATTACTGTTGTTTACGAAATTGAGAGGACGAAAAGCGAATGTCCGGCTCTTTAACCGGGTTGGTGGATGTGGAGGATCCACCTAGGGGAGTTGGGAAACCCTGATTCCAAACCAATGGTGCACATGGGCTCCAGTATCTTGAGGGAACAAATGGCGTATAAATCAATCGTTGGTCACCGGCTACCATGGGACTGCATCTCCTTACGATGCTCCATTGCCTTGTAGATTAAACCTTTAGGTCAAAGGCTTGGGGTGTGGCCGTTCTAAGAAAACCACCTTCTTCAGTTTGGGCACCTGGGCAGTATCACAGCCTTCACACAAATCGAATGAGATTTGTGTGGTGCATACGTATCTGGTGTTTCCTTGTACCAATATTTATGTGTTTAAATAAATAAATAATAAAAGTTTTGGGAAACCGCAGATGGTCAGATAGATAGCTAATTTTTTTGTTATCCTCTAAACTGTTGGATTCTCTTTCTGTAGAATTTCACGTACTATAAAGATTAGTCAAAAAGTTTGTCCATATGTGTTTTATGCATGAACTCGGTATAAATCACAGTGTAATACGCAATTTACATGGGAATCGTACTATATAGTAGTTAGTTTTTTATATATATTCTCGTCATGTTTGTTAGCAATTTTCAGATCTTTGCCGAACTTTTTTGCACCTTCATTGCTTCATTGGTGTATAAACAGTTACCATGAATAAAAAAAGCTCAATGTGCATTTAGGTAAATTAGACTGGATATGTTTAGTTAGTCCTATTGACGTGTAAATGAACTATAGAAACTTCTGAAAATTGATTTTAGTAGTAGTTAAATCTGACTCTCCGAACCAATATGTTTGTAACTCTGTCTCATTGATTTGGCCGCTATTTAATAACCGATTGTAATTCCACTCCACTCACTATGAAAATGTACCTTGAAGTCTGAAGTAATTGTGCTTGAAGAAGCTATGTCATGTTAAAAAAAAATGGCTTTAAATTTTACTCCTGCGAAAAGATTCGTTATGATGGTGTTATATGTCGTCAGGGTATGTAATAATTTAACATTTGTGTCATAAAATATCTGGATGGCTGATTCGGATATTTAAGGTACAGCAATTTTTGTATATAAGCAATCATGTTATCTAAAATATTTGTGTATTTGAGCCATTTAATTTAAGTTAAGCGTGTACATCTTAAGACTTCTAACTAATAATATAGTGTAATGTTACAGTTCGAAGCTGACCAAAATAATACAATTATACACTGCTTCCATCTGCAGAAATCCGTAAGATACCGAAAAAAAGTAGTAAGCGAAAGTTAGATATAAAGGTGTGTGATATCTTCACTTTGAAAATTTGGTTAATAATGTGTTCAGTCGGATCTTATTCAAGTAAGTTGACTTTCGTAATCAAACTCCTTCACTTCTTCATTTGCAGTGCTCTTCTTGGTATACTTACTTAATTCTTTTGGTGATTAATTATAATAGGTATGTGTTTATATCCAGTGATTATTATATTATCGCATGCAGCTTTATTTTATTGTATAAAAGGTATAGCTTATATATTTAAATAACTAAAACTATATGATTATGTACATTGGGTGCGTTTACTTATTTTTAACGTTAGGAACATTGTATGACTGCTATGATGAACTTGGTGCTCATTATCAACTTCCATTATACGTTCTCAGTCAGCCAAGCAATCTTGTTCCAGATCCATCTACTCCTGATTCACAAGGCTTACACTCTCAACCAAATATATCCTCTGTACTCAGAAATTCAAATTCCTATACTTCTGGCTTTAACAACACAAGAGTACGTTCTCGTCAACAGTGCGCCGACAGTAATAATGATCCATCAAGTAGTGATGTATGTGGATGCTTATCATTGTTCAATGTATTTTGTCATAGAAATCGCAGGAACAGAGACGGACCACCTCATTGGTTACAGTGGAATTTTAATTCGTGCAGACGCGATTATAATCAATCAGTACGTGACAAAATCGATCCTACAAATCATAATTCATCATCTCCACCATCATCTTGTCTTAATTTAAGATTATCTACTGGTGAACAGTATAAATTAGAAATCAGTGATCAAAATATCACAGTTTTGGAAGCCAAACGTTTATTTACTTCGCTGTGCGGTTGGCATGAGCTTAGGCAGCGTTGGTTTGTATGTGGTCGTTCTCTTTCGAATCGACTTTTGATTAAAGACTGTCATATACCATCAGGTTTTGTTATCCAAGTTATTGTACACTCACCATTCGATCCTGAATGTTTGTGGAAACAAGGGAATAGATCTGCAACTAGTTCTGTAGTGGAAGCTATTATCTCATAGTAGTAGTAGTTAGTCATTTACTTTTCACAACAATCTGCATTTCTGTTCATTTAACAAATTCGTTCTTAGATTAGTATTTTACTTTCATAACATTGTATATATAAGCTCTCATCAATCGTTACTTCACTCAATATTAGACAAATCAAATAATCCTACACAAAGTGACTTTTTGTCGCTCTGTAATGCAATCTGTTAATGTTTCATTAGCTTTTATGTGGTTTTCAAATTTCTTTTTGTTCTTTTCTCAACCCTTGTACATCATGATATGATCTAAACGTTACTTTTTATATTATTGTGTTATACTCTTGTATAATTAATTACTCTATCTGTTATGGGTTACCTCATTTAAATGGAAAATTAATTTGATGAATACTATCTACTTATTTTTTCTAAAATCATTGGATTGCTTGCTTTTCTATTGTTATGATTTAAGCATGAAACATTGAAATGCTCATTGTCCAACATGTAAATCTACAGTTGTTTTACTAATTTATATATCTGACCTGAACATGTCCTAGATATGTTGGTTCTCTAAGCTTGTTTATTTGCTTTATTCTTAATTTGCTGTATTCCATTTTCTTTGTGATAAATAATGTCCTTTTCGTTTTCTTTAATTTGTAAATGATTATTTCACCATTTAAAAATTTTCTTATCATAATGATTGTGTTTGTTTTTGTCGTTATTACTTTTTGTTTCATCGTTCCTTTGCTTTAAACTTTTCTTAAGCATACATACACTTCTGTCTATCGTTTTTTTTCATTTGTTCTTTGTTTCTGATCAATTAGTTCGTTCAAACATGTCTCTCTTTGTTTTGGTGGTTTTTCCGTACTACTCTGAACCTTTATTATCTTGATTTCGTATTGAGTTACTATAATCACCGTTTGTTTCACTCAGTGATACCTATGTGGTAAAGTAACACTATTTATCTCTCATGTAGTACATTGTATAAAGATAAGTTTTCGGAATCTTTCTCCATATATATATATATATATATATATCGACAAGCAGAACTTACAGTAGTTTTGTTTTATGATTGATTGAAAATGTCACATCCTAATTTTTGTTTATAATTAGTGTATTATGTTCACATTTTGTTTGTTTTGAAAATATTTTTACTTCCCTACTGGTTTTACTTTTTGTGTGCATCATGTTTACGCGTAATTTTCTGGTGTTATTTTTTTCTAAACTCATTCACAGTTAGCAGATATTTTTATTGTTTTTGTCTGTTCGATTGATTTTTATTATGTCTGGAGATTCTACGGAAATTTTATGTGTTAGTTAATTCTAAGTCCCTAATCAACATAACATAGTTGTTTGTTTAGCTTAAAATCGATCATTTATAAGAACATTCACCTAAAATTGAACGAATAGTATTTGGGCGTCAAGTTAATATAAGACATTGAAATGAAAATTATATTTGTAAAAATTTCCGTGTTTGAACTTGAATCTAACGTTTCCTTCGGTAATCTGGTCTGAATTTCTAAAAGAGAAATAATCAAAAAATGTCGAATCCAGAAATAGCGTTTCGTCCTGTTTGGGACTGGTCAGCCGAATCTCACTGTTGACCACCATTCATCTTTGTTTACAATACTTGTGACTTAAGGCTATTTCGAGACAATCCTCACAAGATGCACATGTGTCAATAAGATTATTGTCTTTCTTCTTGTCCAGGATTAGTTTTTGATATATTAATTACAGTAAGAAAGTACACTACTTCATTCTACATTTTCAGTTATGATATACATGACTAACTGGATTAAAGTGTAGAGATATGGACAATTATTTTTTTAATTTCTATGGACTCGCACGACAGGAAAAATTTTGAGGCTGTTAAATCCCCCAAAAAGCCACTTATTGGTTACTTTTTAGTTTTAAATTACCTTTTCTAATCCGAAATTCCTTATGGAGACGGTTTCATCTTTGCTGTAATTAAAGACGTTTCCCTATTGACTAGTAATTCCTTTAGTTCATTAGCTTTTTGCCCTACTCTCCTGGTTATTGCATGCATATTTCTACTCATCTTGCGCCTTATTCAACCAACCTTTAGGGTGACTGGCGAAGGTATGTAAGTAACCTCATCTATTTGAATAGGAAAGTGTTCACGCTTAGTGGTTCGTTTCAAAATTCTCATCATAACCATAAAGGATTTAATTTTAAGTTCGTCACAGCCTAAAACATCATTATTAAAGAGTTTGCTAACTTCTCAGAAGGATGGGTCCATAAGACAACGATTGTGATTCCGATATACAGAAGCTATTCGTGGAAACTTTTACCTATTTTACTATCCATACATTACCAGCTAGCATAATTCAGCTACCGCTAGTAAAGTGACCGCTTTGTTGTGTACAGTATATATATAAAAGTGAATATTTGACACGTCTTACATTCATTTTCATTCTATCATCGTATGAAAGGGATTTTCTTAGTAATTTCAAAGATTATAAAGAAGTATTTCTGTTATGCTTTTTATGTGAAGGATAACAGTCATTTTTTCAAAATTCTGCTCAAAAAGTCAAAAGGAATTTTCTTGATTCTGATTACTTCGTGCCTTTACTACAGTTTAACTAATTTTAATAAATTTCTAGATTTCAAAATAAATAATCCTGTTATACGACAAGTTATTTAAATTAATAACATGAACGTTTTATTGGAATTAATCATAGTTCTTTCTGTTAAAAATTATCTGGGACTATTTTTCTCTGTAGTGATAACCATTTACTGCACTTCTATCTAGTCAACTTTATAGTCTGGCCATCTTATTTGTACTAATTGACGATTCCTTTTTACATGGTCACGGCTAGTTCGGATTTCAAACATATTACGTTCAGTTATGCTCACCGAGTTCTATCTACCTTGAATTGCGAATTTAATTGAACTACTAATCCAGTTCAATTAGATTTTTTGATATAATAGTTGTCTTGCTATTTATGTTTATGTGTTTGAGAAACTGTCAAACCAATAATTGAAAACAATTTCATAGTATCTGAAGTAATGTGAACATTGTAAACTTGGATTTGATTTTTATTTTCAGCAATCACATGCATTTGAGTTTTGATCTGTGAATTAGATAAATTACATTTGAAGGGTTGAGATGACGATTGTTAATTATGTGTCTACAAAGTAAAAACCTATTTATTGGCAGTAAAGTAAATTCATTTTAGTAACTTTTATATTGAAAATAAGTGACAATGGTCAAAGGAATGTAGTATATAAACTACCACACAATGAGCATACATAGAGGGTGAACTTATGAATTAGGTTTTATCATAATAAAGTTAATTGGTCAGTGAAGCACAACTCTGAAATTAAATTCCCCGCTGATTGCGTATCATCTTATAAAGTAAATGATCATATGACTTTTGATGGCACTATTGGACATACTTTATAAGTCAATTAATGATTATTCTCATATCTTTTTAATCAGCCTACTTTTTTTGATTTTTTGTGCATAAAATACGACGCATAATCATCTTGTTCATTAATCGTAATGCATAAACTGATCTTTATTTTTTAAAGTGAGGTAGACGATATAGGACAGTTCATGTAAGGTACACTTTCTCATTTAAAACATGTTCTTATTGGTATTCTAATCATGTAAATTCAAACACAACACTTTGATGCATTATTATTTACATGTGTGAAGAAAACCAGCTAACACATATGTAATTACTTAAAATCAAGTTGTTTTCGTGCAATACTTTATTTATTAACAGAACAATATTAAATCAAACATTCATAAGAAATGGATTAATCTCCAAGACTTTGAAGACGCCACGACACTATCAGCAACATATTTTATAATTGAATCGTACCCACCCAGTGAAATCAGAAGTGAGGAGGCTCGGATATATTTTTGACAGGCTATTAATCTATTCAAAAGTGACTGATCTAAAATGGCTAGTGATAGCAGGAGAAGTTGAGCACGGCTTTAGCACTAGTGATCTAGTGAGGATGCATGACCGAGCGCCTTCATCTAGGTGAGTCCATTAAAACTAATGTGGTCAGCATCAAATGTCGATTTTGATTGATAAATCAAAGTAAATTTTGGAGTTCTTTATAGCCTCAGATAAATATCATGAGAAAAATTTTAATTTATCCCAATGATAGTTTCCAACGGTGGTTAAATTTCAATCTCAATAACTAGATGTTCTTCAGATTGTACTACTTCCATTACTTTGATTAATCTGGAGCATAATATGGTGAAAAATTGGCTTTCTTGATAATCCTTCCCATTGGAAAAACTATGTCCCATTAAGTTCTGTAGGACTGTTATAATTTCTACTTAGCTTTCATTTACTTGCTATTGTTAAGGGACTGGCTACTACACTATTCGCATTCTGATTTGTACTGCTTTATTCCTCGAACTCGGAAGAAGATCAGCTTCACATTGCTGAAGAGGTATGAGAATATGGAACCGTAGTTTGAATCCTTTAAATTAGTCCACTGTTATTGAGCCTATATCCTATAAATGTTGTACATATACAGCTGACTAGTTTAAAACTAGTTTATTGATTATTATTATTATTATTCACAAACACCTTATGGGTACATAAGTGCTGTGAAGAAACCATTTCGGGTTTCTTCAAAAATGCAATAATACACAATTTTCAATAATGTTAACAATATATATGCCATGTTTGAGAAAGGAAGGAAAAGGAAAATAAAATATTAATAATAGAATAGTAATAATAAATGAGGTTCTGTGTAATTAGCAAGAATTTTGAATTGATTTTGAAGGAGGAAAGGAAGAAACTAAGGAAATAGAAATAAGGGAGACGTAAATATCTTAACGCAGAACAAGAATAAACATCTATGTATGTATAGCAAAAACGAGTAATAAAAATAAAATAAATTAAAAAGTAAATAACTTATTATTGCTGTAAGATATGACGTTAGAATAAGTGTTTGTGCGAGCACAGTCATAGTTTTGGGTGATGCTCTGAAAGTTTCAATTAAGTGCAAAAGATAATCAATGTGTATTAGGTGTATATACATAGTGAAGATAAAAAGAGACTGATAAGTTTTAATTCAGCGTAACACAAGTTATTGCCTTAATCCAAAGCTTCGTAATCTTAAGAATAATATTTATTTAGAAGGAAAAAAAGGAGAGAGTAAAGAAATGAACACATAGTGAAAAGGTTCAACCATGATCATAATAGTGTAATGGATGTAGACTTTTGAGATGAACAAATAATTTTAAAATAATAATAACAATAGTAACAATAATAATAAACCTTTACTGCACTCGGATAAATATGTGTAGAATTATGTAACAGTATACAGAGTGAAACCGGGTTGTAGTATAAACATTAGTGCGATAATAATAATTTACAATGATGCTACCATAGTCACAATTAATTGCAAAGAATAATTAAATATAAATTTTTTATATGTTATATGTTGTGAATATTTTGAAAAAAAAAGAAAAAAAAATTTATTTAAGTGGAACATAGGGGTTTTTTGTCTTTAATTGTAGACTTTGGATAAAATATGTTTAGAAGGACAAGAAGAGATGAAATGAATATCTAATGTGTCGAAAGACCAATAATGATATTAATAACAGTAATAATTATAAATACGAACATAAGCAGACTTTATATATTCAGATAAATATAAAATAAAGTGAAAAGTTTCAAAAGTTTCACTTTGATTTTCAGTCAGTTAGATAGATGACGGACCATTTTTGTATAAATCGTTGTTAAGCACGTTGATATTCAATAGGTGACACAATCCACTTTCGGAGAGAAAGTCACCAAGAAGACTTCGGAACCGGATTATAGTTTCACTGCATCGGAGGTTCATCGGTAGTCTATTCCAGATGGTTGAGTAGCGAATAACGAAAAAATTCTGGCGTAAATTTGTTTGGGTTTTTGAAATCGCTATAATATTTTCCTTATTGCGTAGATTGTGGGACGGTATCATAGAGTATGATGGGGTAGATAGCGAAGAGTAAGAAATACCGTTAAGAAGCCGGTAGAGAAAAATAAGGTTTAGTTTGATACGCCTGATCCAGAGAGGTTCTAGTTTGAGTTGTTGACATCTTTGGTGATAGTCTTTGTTGTCAGAATACCCCAAAACAGCTTTGGTGAACCTTCTTTGAACACTTTCAATTTTAATCAGGTCATTATGCCTGCAGTTACTGTAAACTAAAATACCATATTCAAGAATTGGTAAGATACATTTTCTGTATAATAATAATCTCGATTCGGTATTATTGAAATTAATCATTATGAATCCGATGAGCTTTCTAGCTTTGGATACTTGAGATGCAATGTGTTCCGAAAAGTTCAAACTGTCG